TAATGGTAATGCAATTCAAGTGATGTGATTTCATCAGGTGAATAGTTTTAAATTATCTGCCAAGGAACTTGGATGTTATGTTAGATTTATTTTTGTTTGTTTTGTTTTTATTTTTGCTCACTAGAACACAAATAGCCCTGTTCAACTAGTCTGTTCTCTTCACTGATGTAAATATTACTCTAAATATTTCACCCAAGTAGTATTACGATACCTGAAAATCCACCACTTTTGGTGGCATGTTTAAAGGTGCTAATGGTGTATTTATGTGGGTGTGGAACTACCTTTACATCCTGCACAAAAACCACACAAGCTGCTGCACAGACAGAGACAGACTTCTTCTTTTCTGCATTCACACTGATGCAAGTCAAAGCTTGTAGCTGTAGAGCACTTGACTATTATGGCTCATCTTAAATGCTATCCAAATTGAATGAGTATTTTAAAATGATTTTATCTTGTGTTTCCTCAGCCCAGCAGCCAGAGCTGTGTGCCTGTGTTTGTCAGATTCTAGAGATTTAGTTATGGACACGTTGTTCTACTTCTTAACCACAGAGGATCCGTCTCTCATGAAACCCTTCTGCAGCCAGTAAACATCGTCCTGGGCTTCCCTGATTTTGGCTTCCAACCTTCTTTTTGAATGGAAGGTTATCTTTACATGCTTTTTTGATCTTATACCCAAATGTTAATAGTATTAAGGTGCAACAGTGGCACGCTCAATGGTTTCTGTCATACTGGTACTGGGGATGGTGAGTAGAGCTGTGTTAATGTCTGCAAGATTTTCTTCTGGTAGAAGTTTGTCAGTGAGACAGTTAAGTCATGATCTTGGACATTTCTGTAGAAGAAGCGTTATTTATAAGAGGTGGTTGGGTTTCATCTATATCAGGGGTCTCAAACTCAATTTAGCTAGGGGCCGCTGAAGGCACAGTCAGCTTGAGGCTGTGTTGCACAAGGTTTTCCACAAGAAAAGTATTGTTAAAAAATTCCCATAGTCTCAAATCTATTATGTATAACACAAAAATAAATGAACAAATTAAGAGTTAATAAGTTGTGGTTTCTTCAGTCTTCTATTAATGCTGTATTCAGATTCAAATGTCTGTATTAACAGTTCTTTAACCTTTAACCTTCTTTTGAACATGAATGGAACAGTGAAGAACATGAGCTGTTCATCTGAACGTGTCTCGCCTACTCCTTGCAGCTAGAGACCTGGCAGGGCTTCCTTTCGCATAGCCCAGCCACATTTTCAATCAATCCATCAATCACCTTTATTTATAAAACACTTTAAACCAACCACAGCTGACACAAAGCGCTGTACATTGGAACCATAAAATAAAATTACAGAACTTAAATATAAATAAAAGGCAAATAAAAGAAAGAAAAAAATAATTAATTAAATAACTAATTTCATTTCAACTGAAAACTAAGTCTCACTGAGATTAAAAGCCAAAGAATAAAAGTGGGTTTTGAGACGCGATTTAAAAGTGGACAGTGAAGGGCCCTCTCTAACGTGCCGGGGCAAATTATTCCATAATTTTCGAGCCACGATAGAGAAGGCCCCGTCCCCTCTGAGTTTCCTCCTGGACCTGACCTGAGAGACCGACAGGGCCAAACAAGCTTTAATGTCATAAAGGCATGTCATGAGAGGTTTGGCCTGAGGGAGGAAGCAGTTGAGACCCTCAATATGTCTTAAAGATGTTCATCAGTAAGTCTGGTCTTGTACTTGTACTTATTGAAGTTCAAGGTGGAGAAGAGCTTTTCGCTGAAGTACGTGCTTCTAAAAAGGCACATGGGCAGCTTGAACATTCAGGAAAGCCGAAGGAAGCTAGGGGTCAGTTCTCTCAAAAAATGCCCAAGCTAGTCGGCTTTTCCGCTCACCTCCCTGAACTTCACTTTGAGTTGCACTGCAGTTTAATGAGCTTCATTTGAAGCACACAAGGGGCATCATCATCATCATCAAAGGAGATGGGGCTAGCAACAATTTGAAATGTGACTCTGTGCGTCTTGAAGTCTGCAAATCTGTGATCAAAACCTCCTGTAGCCTCAAAATGACATCAACATACTTCTCACCACTGAATGGTGTGCCTGCATCCACAAGTGCTTTGCAATGCTGGGAAATGTCAGGAACGTCTGAGAGAGCTGGGTTTTCCACAACACACGTTTTGTGGAGAATGCTTTCTTGTTGTCATAGGCAGCACTGACAAGTTGCCCCTGGCCTTGTAAGTTCTTGTTCAGTGCATTAAGCTTATATCTGATATCAACAAGAAAAGCTAAGTCCACGAGCCATTTGGGATCACTTAGCACAGGAAAAGCCACTCCATCTTTCTCCGTGAAGGCTTTCACTTCTGCTATCAACTCCAAAAAATTGTTTCAATACATTTCCCCTGCTCAGCCAATGTGCTTCAGTGAAGTAGAGCAAATCCTATATTGTGACTCCACTTCCTCTAAAAAAGCACAAAACCCTTCAGTGCTTTAAGCTCCTGGATCTGATTTGGTTGATGCATTTCCCAATGTTTACATCACTTTGTCAAACTCCAGGCGTTTGCTGCAAAGGACCTGATGATGGATAATGCAGTGCAGAGCAATAGCCTCCTCCACACCCTCCTTACCAGTCCATTTTTCCTCCCCGTCATTGATGGCATTCCATCAATTGTTATTCCAAAAAACCTCTTCCATGGCATCACACAGCTTGTGACATATCTCCTGAGCGGTGGTCTGGCCATGCATTGGAATTGCTGTAAGCAAGTACTCCATCACCTCAAAGCAGTCAACAACACCTCGGACATACACTGCAAGCTGAGCAGTAACGGTGATATCTGTGGTCTCATCAAGAGCGACTGAAACACTGAAAAAAATTTCAAAACACTGGCTTTCTCACACAGTTGCTCTTAAATGTCACTTGACAGGTCAGAAATGCTGATGTTGGCAGAAAGGCTGATGTTGCTAAACTGACCTTTCTTTTATGGACAGACTATATTTGCAGCCTGCAATATGCACTTTTTGACAAATTCACCCTTGTGAATGGCTTTCCTGCTTTGGCAATCATCTCACTAACCACATAGCTAGCTTTCACTGCTGCATTATTCTTTTTGGTTGCTTTCTTGAAGAAATCTTGTAGCCTCAGTAGATGTTTTAAGACTGGCAACCTGGTTGGGTTTCTCGTCTCCCTGGTATTTTGCATACACCGCAGCATGTCTAGTTGTGTACTGACGATTCAAATTATATTTCTTGTGCACTACAACATTCTCTGTGCAAATATGACACGCTGCTGTGCTCAACAAAGAAATATTGCATTTCTCACTTTTCCTGATATTGTCTGTGGTCATCACCAACCTTTTTCTTCACTGCAGGCTTTGAAAAAGAAATGTTTGGGGCTATGCAATATGTACATAATTCTACTTGATGTCATTGTCGCATTGAAGTTTCAATCCAATGTTTAGCCAAAGCACGGGAACGTCTAAATGCATAGAGAACGTAATTTCAGCGTCTTTTTCTTGTAACCGCAGCATGGCGATCGGCGGATTAAAGCCCGGTAGCAGTCTCATTTGTTTTTACCCTCGATGTTCATATCTTTCAGGATGACATTAACACCATGGCAGTTGTAGATGGTAGGATGTAGAGGGTTAGCGAGAACAAAAAGGCGACTGTTCACGGACTGTTATCCGCTGTGCTGTTGTTACAGGGAAAAAAAGCAGAAATGACACCGTGCTGTTGTTGATGTCATTTGTTTGGACTACTTTTACAATATATATAAATATATGTAATGTACATTGTATGAGGACATGCACCTATGCCACCGGCATGTTGGTTAGCACTGTTGCCTCACAGCTAGAAAGTCCTGAGTTCAATTCCACCATCAGACCAGGGTCTTTCTGTGTGGAGTTTGCATGTTTTCCTTGTGTTTGTGTGGGTTCTCTCTGGGTACTCCAGCTTTCTCCCACAGTCCTGCAACTTAAGTAAGCTCCAAGACTCACAAAGAGCAATAACTTGAAGCAAATGCTTTCTGTATCAGTCTCTCACACTGTTGTGGAGAACTTTTGGCTCACTCTTCCTTACAATTTTGCTTTAGTTCATCATAGTTTGGGGTATTTGGGCATGCACTTCTCTCTTGCAAAACCTTGATTCTTTAGTCATTTAGCTGTTCCGTTGTAAATTTGCTATGTTTGGGTCACTGTCCTGTTGCATAATACAGTTAAAGCCAAGCTTTAGCTGTTGGACACGCCTGACATTGACACCCCCCCTCCTCAAATAATCAACACCCCTTCGACTTGACAATTATTGCCAGGTGTTTTGTGCTGACGCTATGTTTCGTTTTCAATGACAGTGGTGTTGTGCCAAACACATCCATTTTGATTTACTCTGTCTAATAGACATTATTGTACAAGACATGTTATTTGTTCTAATGCAACTTCCCAAAAATATCCCACGCTGATGGGTTCCTTTTAAAAAGGACTTTTTTTTGGAAACCCTGCAAAAACCTAAACTTGGTCTGTTTTTTGTGATCATGTTCTCAAGAACATTTCGTATGCTAACTGAAAGTTTTTGGCTTTGTAGAGGTGGTCACACTTACTGATCACCTAATGAAGTGTGTTTCACTGTCAGCACCTGGCAGCTACTTCCCCTTAGTTCCTATGAAGGCAAAATCCGAGACTAGTGATAATAACCTATAGAGAAACTAAATCTCAACAACAAACTTTTGATGTTTAAACTACATGCGCAGTATTTAGAGTTGTTAAAGTATCAAAATAATTATTGGCAGCTTTTCTGGCCACAGCCACCTCCTAATTCCACTGCTGGTCTGGGATAAGTGAGGACTGTCACATATACTGTACGATACACAGGGAGCAACCAGATACCCAAAAGAAGTAAACACGCATGCGCTCAAGTTCTTCATAATGACATTTACTTTATTTTGTGATTAAACACATGGCAAGAATTCCAGAGCATTAAACGAAATGCATCAAAATCAAGAAATATGTGATATATTTAATCTGTCAAGTCTATAAATCACCATAAAGGAATAATATTAGGATATCCATCATGAAATTCCAAACAAAAACAAACAAAAAAGACCAAGAAACCGTTTTTAAAATCAAAATTGTACAAGTACTTCTCTGTAACAACTATAAAGAAAGCAAAAGACAGTCATTGCTTTACACTGGAGTACACACATTCACTCATGGTGTCATCCTTAAGTCTTCTTGATTGTTTTCTCTGGTTTACACGTAAAGCAGCATAATGCAAGCTGTCTGCATCGTTGTAACCCTGCTAACAAAATAATATATTAATACATTGTAACTGCTTCTCATGTGCATTGTACTGGAAGATTTGTGCTTGTGAAAGTTACACTCCAGTGATATTTACCTCTGCATTGGTTGTGTGAGGAGATGACTGTCCTACATGAGACTCTGAAGGTAAAAGTTGAAGAAAAAGTTATTTTTTTACCAAAAAAGAAAATACAGATTAAGCTTTTAACAATGAAAATACACTGTACCTGAATATTGGCTGCAGTTTCTCCCATTCATCTTGCATATCAGGAAAGCCAGAAAGCCAGAAAGAATCATGACGAATATCAAAGCACCACCCAAAAAATACACCAAACCCAGTGAGTCCACGTCCCCTGTAAAACGTGAAAACAAGTTCACAACTTTTTTTACAAAGTTAAAATAAATACTATTGAGTAAAAACAGACCATTCCTGGTAGAAAATCTGCTCACTTTGAAAGTCCAACTTTGTCCCATTCCCTGTTGGGGAGGATCTACAGTATTTTTAGTAAGCTTAGCCTTGACGTTACTCACGTTCAAAGTCCAGTTTTGTCCCCTTTCCAAACAGTATGTGTCCACATGAGGCAACAGCACAGTAGTAGGTCCCAGCATGAGACAGATTCAGACCGTTCATCGGCAGGGTGTAGACGCAGGTGTTAGTTTGTGTTTTAGTTTTTCTCTCGCACTGATCATTCCCACCTCCATGGGTGTAAATAAGTCCTGTTTGTTGAGATTCTTCTGTTTTTCTGAACCAGTAAATGCTGCGTTCTCCATCACAGGTCCCAGTGTGTACTGTACAGTTTAGAGTCACAGAGCCTCCAGGCTGGATGGTTTCAGAAGCAGACTGCTGGACTAGAGCTTTGATGCTCAAACCTTGACTCTTTACAATGACTTTGGTACCCTCTCCAAATTCAAACACAAATGAAAGACCACTTGCACAGAAGTAAGTTGCTGTATCTGTGATTTGTACGTTGGAAATTTGTAAGTGATTTATACCCACATCAGTTTCCAACGTAAAGCGTGGATTGTCCTTGAACTCATCATAAAAAGTTCCATTTTTGTCAAATTTATAGGTATTGGAAATAAGCTGTAGCTTCTGTCCCAGTTGTTGCTTGTACCAGTAATACTTTGCAGCATCACTGTCATGAAAACATCGCAAAATCAACCTGTTTCCAACATTAGCAGATATCAATCCTTTCTCTTGATGTAAATTTCTGGGTTGTTTTAAATGATTCATCTGAGCTAAATGGGGTAAAGAGCAGAATTATTTTTAACCAGAATGATACATTTAAAACATAAATAGTTGTTCTTGTTTTTTAAATAAAATGCAACTTACTAAATTCCACCAAGAAGAGGCATGTCAGATAGAAGACAAGCTTCGGAGGTGTCATCTTGTTGAAATTGCCGTGTTGAGTGAAAAGCACTGCTCTACATCCTCACTCTCTTCAGAGACAAGACTGTTTTGATTGGCCAGGAGGGTAGATGATCACATCCACCTACAGAGGCAATCTTAGCTCTATGAGAAGAATCAGTTGGGTGAAACTATTTGACGTACTTTAAGGCTTCTGACACTTTTTCAAATCACTTATAAATAATTGAGCTTTATGCAACATATTAGAATAGAAAGCAGAGTTCTTTGGCACTAGAATTAACATCATATTGTTCTACAGAATAACTGCAGTCAGTAATTATATACATGGCTTATCCTGTGAAAGTATATTTCCGGACATCAGCAACACATTGCAAGGCATCAAACAACCCGTCTGTAAAAGTGAACTAAAAAAAACACAGTTTCCAGTTTTTCATAGATTTTATGTAAAATATTGATTTAGCTAGCGTGACATTATCCATTAGATAGCAAAGTCCTATTGTAAATTCTCAAGTTAAGTCTTCTAAACACACACAACTGAGCCAAGAATTCTCCAGACTTCATGTAACAATGTAAACAATGGCTAGTTAGCTATCTTAGTTCTCACCGATTCCAAAACAGCGAGTTTCAAAATTCACTAAACCAGCGGCAAAAGAAAACCACAAATGTGCTAAGACAGAAACTTGCTTACCGGACTGGTTTCCTCCGCTGTAGCCAATAGCCGCTGTAGTTCTGGATAATGGCTGTGGTAACCAGTGTTGGTCAAGTTACTTGAAAAAAGTAATCAGTAACTAATTACTGATTACTTCCCCAAAAAAGTAATCCCGTTACTTTACTGATTACTTAATTTCAAAAGTAATTAATTACTTAGTTACTTAGTTACTTTTTAAAAACACGATTTACAACCTGAAGAGGTGATAAAGTGATAGATCTTTCAGCCCAATTCTACTTTTTCTGCATAATCCATCATACAAAATGTAATCAAATGGAAAAGTCTCTTTTTTAACTTGTTTTATCAGTTTTAATCTTTTAACTTTATGCATCAAATAAATATTAAACTATATGCAACATTCTCTGACTTGAATAAATTAGTTTAACATTTAAACCTATTTTCTACACATTCCAGCACATAAAATAAAATATTTTTTGTGTTTACACTCACTCTTTCAAATAGATGCAAGTAAAACACAGCAGAACATAAATAAAGTCAAAGACTCAGCGGTCCTGTTGCTCTATTTTCACCTGTAAAGCAGGACTGTGGTAGGCGGAGGTTTACCCTGGTGCAGGGTATGGAAGAATCCGCGAGTTTCTCTGTGAGTTTCCCATTATGTCATAGCTACTCGGTGCTTGCTCGGAAGTTTAGGGTTTTTTTCGCTGTAAAAAGAAGATTTCTTCCCACACACAACGGACGCTAATGTTTTTGTCACTTTTTATGGAATCAAACTCAAAGTAAGGTCAGTACTTCCACGCTTGAAACGCTGCACGCTCATACTCTCTCCCGCACTCGATATGTGATCCATTGTTGATCTGCACACAGCTGTTGTCACTAACGGCGCACTCGCAGTAACGCAGCGTTCCTACGGGAAAGTAACGGTAATCTAATTACCGTTTTTGCAATAGTAATCCCTTACTTTACTCATTACTTGAAAAAAGTAATCAGATTACAGTAACGCATTACTGCCGATCTCTGGTGGTAACACAATGCATCAGAGCAACTTCCATCAATAATCGCCATCTTAGGCCCAGTTATGGACATGTGACTGGACAGATGCCGTGTGTCATAAATTTGGGGTCATGTGGGGTCTGGTCTTGCAACTTCTGGCATCATTACTGTGATTCTATTGGCTCAAATGATTAAAAAAAGGTGTAAATCAAACAAATCGTCCAATAGAAGCCGAAGCTACAGCTCCTCAGAGTTTAAAGCACCAGAGGCTGTTTAACCTTCCCATGCGCATGGCAGAAAGGGCACGCTGCCTGTGAATGTGTGTTTAATTCTTCAAAAATATATTTTTTAAAAACAAACATTTTAAGGCATGTAAATGAAATTAAATAATTTCTGCTGTTCCATACTCTTATAGGGTGTCCAAGGTGTGCCAAAATTGGTCAAACCAGGATGATGTTTATATGTTGATTGAGGTCTTCTGGAATCTGGTCCTTTGAAAACAGCAAACAATCTTTGTGTATTCAGAAGTTTGAAATAATAATAATGCTGAGCATGAATGCTGTTTTTGGAGAAAACCCTTAGGAACTTTTCAAAAGTTATGACAATATCCTTTGTTAGGGAAATGCCATCAATTTCCAGCACTTTCTGGCAAATTTGAGTGATGTCTCAAACAGTCAGGTGACTTTCCCATCTCATGCAAACAATAAAAAGCAATGAGGAAATGCCAAAAACTTGAGGGTGTCTTCAAAAGTAGTCGATTTCTGTAGACTCCCTGTTAAAATGCCCAATTTAACTGATGTACAACATTTTAAAAAACAGTTTCATGGTACAAAACACTGCATTTTTTTTCTCCTTAGATAATTTGCTGCTTTATAATAACTATATGGGGAAGACATTTGCTTACTTTTTAGGCCTAAAGTTTGGACAGATGCCCTAAGAGTGGCCAACAGGCCTCTGTAGTTTATACAAGGTCTCATCTCCACGTTTGTCAAAGAACTGCAAAGAATTCTATTGGCTGACATTTGACATAATGCCTTCTCTCTTTGGATTGTTTTATGGTCTATAAAGGTTTATTGGTTATTTGCATGTGGTCTTTAGGGCATGCATTACTAAAGTACTTACACCTCTTCATTCTTCTGAAACCCACAAAGACCACTACAGTTTAACTTGGCTAACATACGTCTCACTGAAATGATTGCTTGCGTTTGACCTTGTGTTTACAGAAGAAACTATGACGGGGTGGAATTTTTTGTGAACACATTTTCTTAAGCATAATAAATCTATGCACATGTGTATGCATAAAAAGAGGTGTGACTATATTGAGTGACAGGTATTTATAGTTTTTTCTTGTTTAATGTTTACTTCAAGATTTTGGGTATTCAGTTTGTTCAACCCCTTAGACTTACTAAGCTGGTAATTCCGAAGCTCTACTCTCTGGTCCAAATATGTGTTTTGATGTTTTAAAAAACATGGCAACATCCAAAATACCAAAGTAATCCACACAAGCCAGTGGGTAACATCACTATAACACACAATCACTGCTTCTTAAACCAAGAAGTCTTGAGTTCTATGTCTTAGTTATACAAGATAAGATTTGTAAGTTATGTAGAATTTAAAAAAGACCATTTTGGTGTGTTTATGAGGACAGGCAGCTAATGGGGAAAAACAAAGATTTAAGACTTACCAAGTCTTGTATATCAGTTATTTCAGTCATATCAGGGTGGAGTGCTGAATTGCCAGCTAATGTTAGCAAGCTGCATTCATAAATTGTACAGGTGCAACAAAAAGACACAGATATCTTCCAAACAGTCAGCAGGAAAGAAAATAACCCAAATAAGCATCTTGAATGGTGTGTAATATATTTTATTTGTCAGAAAATTCCATTAAAACCATGCAAAATACACCAGCACAGCAAGAAGGCCCTTCATAGAGCTCATGCAACTTTTGGCAGATCATTTATTCACAGGTAGGTAGCTCCATTTTAATTTGTTCTAACTTTTGCAATTTCAGAGAAATACTCCATTCATCTCTCCTCCTGGAATCGAACCGGAAATCTTTCACCCGTTGAACACGTAAACCACTACACTATGGAAAAATAGCCGTGCTGCAAACTTTCAGCAGAGTTAGTTCAAAAGTGCTAATTGCATTAACCTTGTTGTTTTAGCTAGTATACGGCTGCAATGGTGGAAAAGTAGTGGAGGCTTCCTGTTTGCAACTACACAGACACAAAAACAAAAGAGCAGATGGTTTGTTTTTGTTGTTTGTTTTATCTTTGAATCACCCAGACATATAGAGATTTAACTTTATGACTTTTTTTAAACTTCAGACCTTAATCTAAGCTATAAAAAGATTCTTAAATATGTAACCACAATATGAAAAGATAAACAGATATTCCCCAGTAGAGAGCACTCATTACATTGTACATTGTATTTCTTGTGACATAAACTGGCTTATATTTATGGTGATGTGGCACAGTGTGTTATGCACATGTTCAGAAAGGTTGGCTTCATAAAGTAACATGTTTTCTTACTGTTTTTCTTACCCCTGAGAATCAACAAGTATACTGATAATGGAAATGTAGCACCTTTGTAACCAAGGCTTTGTACTGATTATCTTCACAACAGATCTCAAAACACACGCTAACAAAACCACATCTTACGCTGAAACAAAGTCTAGATGAAACAGGTTCAGATCTGCTGCCTTACACTGGAGTACACACAGTGATTCATGGTGTCATTCATCTGCCTCCTTTGCCGGTTGGACTTTTGTGTCTGTACGGCAGCATAGTGAAGGTTGTCTGCATCTTGGTATCCCTGGTACAAAAATACACGAGTCAATAAATGTTACAGAAAAAAAATCAAGTGCTACAGTGTAATATATGTATTGGTAGCTGTTCAAAAGATAATTTGATATATATCAAAAAATATAGTCACCTCTGCATTAGCTGCATCTGAACATCTTGCTTGTGACTCTATTGTGAAACACAAAAAATATAAAAGCTTTTGTCTGTGAATACACGCTGTTCAAGAAAACAATATTATATAATGTGTATCCAGTCTTACTAACAAATCAAAGCACTTTACACTGTAAGCCACATGTGCCCTTTCATACACCCTTGCAACTGTTTTTTGTGCACTATATCTAACCATGTTTGGACTGACTGCAAGTAGATACTAGTGACTGGTTACCTTTATTCATCTTCCACACTAGAAAACTCATTAAAAGACTCAAAGTGGTGGTGAATGCCAAGACTCCACTTAAAACATGCACAAGAAAGTCAGGAAAGGTCACCTCATCTGTAGAGAACCAAACATCCATCAACATCAGTGTTGTTAATATGTTTCCATTAAAAGCTGAATGAGAGAGTATTAAAGACTGTTTAGCAAATGTGAGACAGGCTACTAGAATGCCACTTACCCTCCGAGCCCAGCTTGGTCCCATTACCAAACAGTATGTGTCCACAAGAGGCAACAGCACAATAATACATCCCATTATCAGACAAATTCAAGCTCTTTATTGGCAAATTGTAGACACACGTGTTTGTTTGTGTGTTAGCTTTCCTCTCGCAGCGATTGTTCCTGCCCTCATGGGTGTAAATGAGTCCTGGATGGGATTTTTCTGAGCTTTTGAACCAGTAAACACTGTGTTCTTCATCACAAGTCCCAGTGTGGACTGTACAGTTCAGAGTCAAAGAGGCTCCTAGCTGGACGGTTGCAGAAGACAGCTGATGGACTGAAGTTTGAAGGTTCAAATCCGAACCCTTCACATGGATTGTGGCGCCCTCTGCAAATTCAAACTTGTACGCATAGCAGCTTATGCAGTAATACGTTGCTGAGTCAGACATTTGTAAATTCGAGATTGTCAAGTGGTTCTTTCCATTTTTACTGTCCAAAGAAAATCTTGGATTGTTCTTGAAATCCTCGCTAAAAGTGCCATCTTTGTCATGTTTGTAGAAGCTAGAGATGAGCTTTGGCTTTTGTCCCAGGGTTTGTTTGTACCAGTAAAACATAACTGCAACGTCACCTTCGTAGAAACATCGCAAAGTTACATTGTCCCCAACATTAGCTGATATAAAGCCGCTCTCTTGACGAACATTTGAGGAGAGCTGAATATTAGTTACCCGGTCTGTAAAGAGAACACCATGAATGTTTGCACTTAAAATCACAATAAAAGCCTAATCACTCTATAAGTGAGATTTAATTTATATTTTTAAGAATTTAAGGTATTCCCAACTTACCAATTTTCCAGAAGACCAGGCAAATCAAAGCAAAATTCAGAGATGTCATTGTGATCAAAAGGTCTTGACCAATGTAGAAAACCTCCATACGTCCTCTAGTCTTAGAGACAAGGCTCCGTTTGATTGGCTAACCAAAAGTGACTCTGAACTACTTTTGAAACAGGGTACAAAAGTTTAACGCCCCCTTCATTATGAATTTTGGTTCTCGCAGCAAGAGATGTGGAAAACAATACCAGAGTTATAGTATTACATTAGTTTAACCATTAAAACCCCAAAAACCAATAACGTGAGTGAGAGCAAACTTGGCCAAGGTTAGGATGTTTCCGGTTAGTGTGAAAAGTAATTTAGCGCTTCTTATTGTCTTAAGAACAGTGAAATGAACCAAGATCTGATTGAAAGACGCCACAGACATTAGTTATTGTAGTGGCTGTGTGTATGCCATATCTGGTGATGTAAGTTTTCTTACTTCAGTGAGCCATATCCTTTTTAAATGCTCTATGAAAAGATCATATTTCTTATTTTTAACTTCCCGTCATTCATACATTTGGATATGTTTCAGTGTTTCTCTTGCTGGGCCCACCTTCACATTTCTAATTATCTAGCATGCTTAGAGAGAAATGCTGCATTATCAAAATTCGATTTTCTAGGCTTCTGTTCTGTTAGTAGTTTATATACATCTTTTCATTGTCTTTTCGGTTGCAATAATATGAGTGGCCACTGGGGAAAATTAGGGCAATAATCGTAAATGGACTGGTTCTTATATAGCGCTTTTCTACTCTTCTGAGCACTCAAAGTGCTTTACACAACTTGTGCTTTCACACCCATATTCGCACAAGCACATTTTCCTAGGTGCTTTCTAAGTAACATTCACACACACACTCATACTCTGATGCATGCAATTTGGTGTTAGTATCTTGCTCAAGGATATTTGGCGTGCAGACTAGGGGAAGCCTTCCGATCAGTAGATGACCTGCTCTACCGCCTGAGCTACAGCCACCCCCACATGAGGGCATCATGTGACTTACTCACAATACAACCATCAATGTCCACCCAATGGGGGCCATAAATGGACTTGCTGCAGTCGTTGAGATATATGAATCTGAATCAAAGTGGTGCGTTTGGTGATAAAAAAAAAAACTTAAATAACATGAAAAATCCAGAAAATTAATGGAAAATCTGTGAAAATCCAATTGCCCAGACCTGAAACTTGCTGTTTAAACATTAACAGCAATGTCATGAAAGTGACGCTATCCCACACTGAGAGCCATGAGTTGAAGCTTGCATGTTGACTAGATGTAAATTAAATAATATCAAGCGTACATTCCTTGAAAAGACTCAAGGACTGAACATTGCGCGATAAAAAATTGAATTTTGAGTATAGGAGAGAAGGAAGTACTGCAGCTGCAAACAGATCAGCTTTCGTCCCCATCACTGACTTTTCCACCCTGGTGACACGTGTAACAACCTGCATCTTCATAGCTGTTTTCTACCAGAGTCTAGCAATGGAGGTACAACTAGAAAGGTGATGTTACAAAATTTTACAAAGACGATTTAATTGAGGCGTCATCACATTGGTAGGTGTAGTGGTTGGTAGTTCACTCTTGTTGTCTCTCACACAGCTGCCTCCTACAGCTACTGTCACTTTTATTGAACTCTCACTCACTAAGTCTCAGTCATTTATGTTAATTGGATCATACTGGATCTTAATACAGTTCTTCTGGTTAAGAAGGTCAAAAACGTCCTGCATCTGTATTCACTGTCCTCTAGTAAAGGCTAAAAGCCAAAAAAAAAAGGATATTAAAAAAGCAGTGGGGCCATGGACATAACGGTTTTTGATATTTGGTTCATGTTTTAGCCATAAGGAAATGTTTATATTGCACCAAATTACATTTATTTTTATTTACATTTTATTTACATTTTTTTTATTTTTCATGTCTGTCATAGAATTGTGTTAGTTAAAATGTGTGTGAACCTTATAGACTGAAAGGCCACAAGAGCTTGGGCTTCACTGGTTTTGTGTGGATAAGAAGCAATATAGTTATAGAGTGCATCCTATTTGAATAAAATGAATAAAACAAAGACAATGTGATTGATTGCATTTTGATTTATTTTAGTATTTTGATGTAGTCTACTGAAGAAACTTGAGCATCATTAATACTGCATAGCTGCAGTCCATAAACACACTGCAGACACTTCCTGTCTGAAACCAGAAAGACAAAGTGAGCTAGGTGTTCTTCAAAGCACTTTGAAAGTCAGTCATTTGACTGTTGACCACACAGAAGCTACATACAGAGTCTCACTTCTCTGGTTTCAGGTGTGCAAACAACACCAAATGGAACAACATTCTGCAAATGCAGTTGTGAAAGATGTATGACATGTCTTAAATTATCAGAAGATTATCACTGATAAATTGTTTCCTGTCATGTTCAGCGTAACTGCATATTTAGAAGTTAAGTGCCTGCTTATCACAACACTGCTATGAGAAGGCACAGGCCTGCTGTTTCTGTGCGTGCAGTCTCATCTCTGAAGGCCACACTTAGAGACTGCAGAGACGTTCTGTTTATGATCCTTTTGCATTACTGAGTTTGTAATATTTGTAATATGAGCTTGCTAGCTTATGTTCCTCACAGTTCTACTGGCTTTTATGTAGCAATCTTTCTCTTTTACCTTTCTTTATCTCTGGCTTGTAGTTCTCTTCTTACCATACACAATATAATACAACAATGCTTCAACAATCAACAAATCGAAAAAACAAACAAAAAACAAATGCTTTAAAGACACAGTTCTTCTTACAGAACAACATGGCTACAAATGAAATTCCAGGTTTACTGTTTGACACTGGAGTACACACATTCGGTGTTTGTGTTGTCTCTTTGTCTCTTGGATCGGTTGACCTTGTGGTCCCTCAAAGCAGCATAATGGAGGTTGTCTGAATCTTGGTTACCCTGATAATAACATAACAATTTAAAATTAGTACTTTATAATTCTTTATTGCCACTACAGCATAATGGCACATTGCTAAGGACATCTACACACCTGGAAGAATAAATGCATCATCAAATGTGCTGCTTTACATTCAGTAGCAGGCAGGTGCAGTTGATGGTGGGAATCTCATAGTAGTTCATACCAGACTTCATTTGCAATATATATACATTTATATTGTGCCTCACGTCTTCTTGTACCACAGAAATGTGTCAAAGTTGCCAACTCTCTGCTGACCTAATAACTGCAGAGTTTCAAACCTCCTCCGGTATTTACATAAACACAAAAACTGCACCGGGAGCTTCATGGCATGTTTTGTTATAGCCGAGCAGCTCTTCTGGTTCTAATGTTTAGATGGCCCAGTACTTTTGTCCATATACAGTATTACTGATATCTTCCACTTTGTCAAACTTGATAACTTCCAATGGTTGGTCATTATGTTGATGGAAGCCATAACTGTATCTAGCAATGTTTCCTCTTATTTGTTTTTAAAGATTATTTTTAGTAAACATAGGTCCAAACATAATTTTCTGTTGCTTAAGATAGTAGAAATGCAAAGATTGCAACATCACAAACTAGAAAACTGGTGTACCCTACTTCTGTCTATCTACATACAGTTAGACTGGCAGATTAGTACTCACTTCTGCATTTGGAGTTGAGGCATTTGCAGATCTTGCTTGAGAGTCTGGTTATGAAGGTTGGAGACAAAGTTGCTTTTTAAGTCTTTATGACTGTATATGCTACCTAAACATGAGTGAAAAGTAACCAGCGCCTACCTGAACTTTGGCGTTTCATTTTGATATTAATCGTCAGTGCTGCATATGACAGCATAAGCAGCAGAATAATGGTAAATATCAACGCTCCACTCAGGAAATACACCAAGACAACAGAGTGCTCATCTGCAAGTTAAGATGAGTAAAGCAAACATTTTTGAACATGCTTTGTGTGTAAAACAGTCTCAGTCATGCAAATATGAAACGGATTTTGTATTGCTACTTACGCTCTAAGTGGAGCTCTTCCCGGTCTCCAAACAGTATGTGTCCACATGAGGCAACAGCACAGTAGCTCGAAGCATCAGACAGATTATGACTTTTCATGGGTAAGTTGTAGAAGCAGGTGTGTGTTTGTGTCATAGGCCTCTTCTCATACTCATCACTCCTGACTCCGTTGGCATAAATGAGTCCAGGATGAGATTCGGCAGAATCCTGGAACCAGTAAACTCTGTGGCCTCCATCATAGGTATGTTTGTGTATAATACAGTTCAGAGCAGAGCCTCCAGGCTCAATGGTTTCGGATGGAACCATCGTCTCAGACTGATGGAGCAAAGTTTGGATGTTTATCCCTGAACCCTCTACACTGACAGTAAAACCTTCAGAAAATTCAAAATCGTATACATAGATACCAATGCAGTAATAAGTAGCTGAGTCCGAAATCTGTAGATCTGAAATGATCAAGTGATTGTTACCATTTCCAGTGTCTAGTGAGAAACGAGAATTGTTTTCAAACTCACTGTAAAACGTGCCATTTTTTTCATGTTTATAAAATTTAGACACAAGCTTTGGATTCTGTCCCAGAGATTGTTTATACCAGTAAAACATCACTGCGTCTTCTTCGTAGAAACATTGCAAAGTCACTTTGTCACCAATGCTAGGCGACACAAAACCACTTTCTTGACGCACATAAACTGAGGATTTCAGGTTAGTCTTCTGAGCTGAAGAGGAAAAAAACACTGATTTTAAAAGATGATGTATATCAGTATATATATGCGTTCTATACAGCTGTATTTAGAAGAGACAACTTACCTACACTACCCAGTGCCAGGCATGTCAGACACAAAGCAAACTTTAAAGGCATCATCGTGTCCACATCGTATCCTGTTGAATGTACTGACTCTCACCAAGCTCTTTATTCCTCTGAGTGGACTGCATTTGATTGGCTAACGAGAAGTAACGCCTAGGAGCATCAATACTTGTGATGTTCCACACCGATTTCTGTCCCTTTAATTTCAACTTAAATGTAATCAGGTACACTATGACATTGCTTTAACTATTGTTACTTTCATTACTTGATGTTGTGTAAATTGCTGTTTTTGATCACAACATATCAGAAAATGACAAACTGTAACAATAAATGGTACGTTAACTATTTTCATGTATTGCACCTCTGCATAATTATACCCCTGCATTATCTTCTCCAGTAACAAAAAAAGTCTTGGTCCATAAAGAAAAATCTGATTTTATATTAAATGTATTAGCAACAGCTGGGTGTGTCTATGTTAGCTAATTGTGGGCAACACTTTCTTTTAATACTCTGCACAAGTGCCAGCGCTAACACAGACAGAAAACCTGAAGAGATAACCAATGAGTCCTGGAAGAATATGGTAGTATGAAAACCGTTATGTCAAGATAACATTAGTAAATATATAAAATATATATATTTTACATTATGCAAATTTTACAGGGGTATTCACTGCTTCATATATGAAGGACTCATATTTAAGAGCTGATATATGGGGCGGAGCACAAATAGATTTGCTGGGAGTCATTAAAAGAAGCTCAGGCTAATCTCTAAATAGCTGCTATTTGCGGTTGGTGGTAATATTTACTTATATTATACATGCACAGAGTATGCAGTATGAACAAATGTTAGCTATTAAAATGACTCTTAATAATATTAGCTATTTTATTAGTACAGGACACCTGCTCATCAGGGAAATTGCAAACAAACTATTGTAATTACCAGATTGTTGTCTTTTTTAACTACCTAAAAGAGTAATTGGTAAGCCGAGTTAAACTGTGTGGCTGCAATGTACAAAAACAATGCAGAGACTTCCTGTTTGAGACCACAAAGAGCGCAAAGGGTCCTACAGGAGTGCATGGCTGAAGTATACTGAGAGCTATGTTTTTGCCTATCAACCACACAGACGCTAAAAAAAGACTCCCTCAGCTCTGCTGTGCGCAGACGACACATTTAGAGTAAACAACCTGCAAAGGCTTTCAGATGCCATCGATACATTTAGGGCAGATAATCTGGAAGATTTGTGTATGTCACATAATCATTTTAGACTTTGCAATAAGGCGGGATTTGTTGTTGTGAAATGGTTGCCGCTTTGTGTGAGCAACCTACCGCACCTGGAAGAAGACTGTGTTGTATGAGTCACATCTGCAGTGCCATGCCGGTTGTTTCCTCCTGACTCAGATTGTGTTAATGAGAGTGTTTCATTCAAAAATCGATCTAGAATCAAATAATGTGTGTTGAACTAGGGTGACGTGCTAATTATGCGCAGGCTTTATGAAATATAGAGGGCTGTTCAGATCTTAAGCTCTGCAACACAAAGGTGCATTGTGTGCATACACACAGTTGTGTGTATGTCGCTCGCTGTACATCGTGAATGCAATGTAAGTACAGCGACAATGGAAATATCACACCTTTGACAAAAGAACCTGGCTCAGCTGCAGTTAAGCAAACATGTCTGTTTATTTTGTAAGGCACAGATTTACATTTAGTTTACGGAGGAGAAAACCACACAAACAAAAAAAGCAAAAAATGTGTCATTTTTCTCACAGAGACTACAAAGAAAACATGTCCAACTTTATTGCTTCACACTAGAATAAACACATTGGCTAAGGGTGTCCTCTTGCTGCCTTCTTGATCTGGTGGCCTTGTTCACCTTCAAAGCAGCATAATGGAGATGGTCTGCATCTTGAGATGCCTGTTTAGAAAAAAAGAAAGAAAAATGTTACCCTTGAACCAGCAAGCTTAGCCACTGGATGGCACATTAAAAGAAAACCTCACTTATAATAAAATTAATTTCAAAACAACAGAACTACAAGTGAAAACTGGACATTGTGACCTTCGCAAGAATATGTAATACTGCAATGCATCGAATTGTTAAGGTGCTCTTCATTCTGTGTTTTTTTCCTTCCATTGTAAGGTCTCGAAAAACAGTTAATTTATTCACTGATATTTTTTTAGAAATTAGAACATTACAGAAAAACTTACGTCTCCATTTGGATTCGAGGTCCCTGAAGACTCCGCGCGAGGGTCTGTTTATAAAAAAGAAAGAAAAAAATGATCCTTCTTTTAACTCAGTTGGCGCAGTCACGACAAAATGACTCTCCATATGTAGTCAACACAGAATTGCAGAGGACACTTTAATATACTGAACAACAGTAAACCACCTATGACTTAATAATAAATTAGGTATGTCCTGAGCTAATTCATTTCATTCCAGTAAACAAAATAAATAAATAACTACACTTAAGAATTTTTTTTTTTACATCTTTGCAATTGACAGTAAGAAAAGGTACAAATTGCATTTATGTAGTATACATATTTATGAAATGACTTTGTTAAAAAGAAAAATGAAAGAAAGAAATGTACTTGTTGTACACATTATCTGGACTTTAAGCGAGTCGACCAAAAATTTCAACCAAGTGTGCTGAAGAAACACCAGTTGATGTCTTCAGTTAATGTAACAATGAGCATTATGACTACTTAACAACTTATTAATGTCTTTCTTCCTTGTTATTGCATTCAGTAAAATCTAAAGAAGTCAGTTAACCCACCTGTGCATTTGCAGTTTTTTCTCTTGTACAACGTACAGGCTGCATAAGCCAGGAAAACCAACAGACTTGAATTGAACGCCAAAGCTCCGCTCAAGGCGTACACATAGATAAAATATTCCCCCTCTTCTGTAGAGAACCAGACATTAAAAGACACCACATACATCATATTTGATTAGAAACTATTGTTACTGTTCAACAAAAGAGGCAGGAGCGGTAGCTACCCTCAATGTTCAGCTTGGCCCCATTTCCAAACAGTATGTGTCCACATGAAGCCACGGCACAGTAGTAGGTCCCAGCATGAGACCGATTGAGACTCTCCATTCGCAGGTTGTACACACAGGTTTGGGTCTGTGAGCTGCGATTCCTCTCACATTGATCATTTCTGCCTCCGTGGGTGTAGATGAGTCCAGGGTGAGATTCTTCAGAGTTTTTGAACCAGTAAACACTGTGTTTTTCGCTACAGGTTCCAGCGTGCACTGTACAGTTCAGCATCACAGAGCCTCCAGACTGGATGGTCTCAGGTGTTGATTGATGAACTGAAGCTTGGAAAACCAAATCTGAATCCTTCACTTGGATGATAATCCCCTCCAAAAATTCATACACATATGAATAGCCACTTATGCAGTAGTAAGTAGCAGAGTCTGACATTTGTGCTTTTGAGATCTTCAAGTTGTTTTTATAGTTCATAGTTTCCAGTTCAAAGCGAGACTCATTCTTAAATTCATCAGTGAAAGTGCCATCTTTTTCATGCTTATAGAATTTCGACACCAGCTGTGGTTTCTGTCCCAGAGGTTGCTTATACCAGTAAAACATCACTGCAACAGTAGTGTGATTGAATGAACAATTTAAAGTTAAATCCTGACCAGCTTTAACAAATGTGATATTTAATGATGGTGATAGCTTCAGAGCTGCCAAATGAACTGAAAATAAAAGAAAATACACAGTGAACTTAATATAATAACTGGATAAGTATTGGAATTTATGAGATTGTATAGCTGTCAACAAAATTATTTAAGTTGCAACTTACCTATTGATCCTGAGAGTAGATATGTCACATATAAGGATAACAGCGGGGGTGTCATTTTGTTCAAATTGCTGTGGATCATTGAGAGAAGGTCTTTACGTTCTCTACTTATCAGAGACAAGACTGTTTTTGATTGGTCACTCAGAATGACTGAAAGATCACATGCTCAGTGCCCCCTGTAGGGTTCATTTAGGTCTATGAGACGATCTACAAAGGAGGTAATCAAAGCAGATTTGAAAAACTTTACTTCAAAGAGCAAGTTATGCAGATTTACTGAAGAAAATGCACATCCAGTTTACATTATGGCAGGCTCTGCCTGTACATGTGACCAATCACATGAGTACTACTGAATAATTTACTCATCACTCAATTAATGTTATTCTACCAGTAAAGGTGCTTTGCAACCTGCAGAATATGTAAATGTTCACCATTAGCATTGGCTAGTTAACATTAGCATTCTTTGAAGGTCTGAATGTATTATGCATGTTTGGTAGCCAGGTCTCACCTCTTGAGTTTGTCACCGTAATGTTTATGAACAAGAATAAACTTGCAGACGGAGCCTTCACAGACTTTACAATAAACGCATCTTTGGTCATATTGTATAATGTTTAGATTGGTGTTTTTTGTGACTTTTTCAGTGTTCATATGGATAAAAACTGAGAGATTTAGTGCTTTATTTTGTACAGCTTCTGTCGTTATGCAATGTCATGCAAACAAAACAGCATAAGGAGATCTATTTAATCATGGTAGAGGTGTTTTGTTTTTAATTAACACCATATGGTTCAACATGTAGAAAAGGAAGAGAAAGCATAACAGAAATGTTTCATGTGGTATTTTTAACATAGACTATATATGAATGTAACCACTGTGATGTCACCCACTGTACTACCAGAAATACACTGTCACATAGCTGACTGACACAAATCTCTGTCCTACTAAGGACATGCGCATGTCCAGTCTTTTAAAATACAAACAACAACACAAAGATGCTTCATAGCAACTGTGTCTGTTATTAAACTGCAGGAACGTGCAGAAATAGAAGCTACAGTGAGACAACTCTGTTGATGACTGCATTGATTTTTTTACTCTTTGAAGATCGGGCTCTGGCTCCTGGGCTGGCGTTGACATACATTCACTCTGGGTTCTTTGTTAGCTTTGTGTTAGCACGCTGTGTGTGCGGATACTTGCAAAGAGCCAGAGTAATGCTGGTGGCTGTTTCTGTTCTAGATGCAATGTGCACTTTACGTAGAAACTCGTGTCCTTTTGTGCAATAAGGATAAAAGTAATATCAATATCACCACTCCTCAAACGTTAGACTGGACCACCTTTTTCTGTCTCCCTGCACATAAACGCAGGATGAAAAATACACGTTTGATGTTTTTTCCCCCTTACTATCTATTCATTGTGCAGATAATTGAAAAACCTAATCATATCATTCTTATTGTAACTTCCTATTTCTGAATTTAGTAGAGTAATCTGCATTATAATGTACCACATTCTATTACTGTGTTAACAAAAAGTGTCATTTTTGACATAGTAACATATTATGTTATGGCACATTGCCTCCAAGTCTGTATACTATATATTTTCAGTGTTAGCAGTTTGAAAATATGGATGTTTTTTAAGTGATCACAACTGACTGTATATGGGTAAACTATATTACCATGCTTGGTTCATAAATTAGCATAAACCAGTAGAACAAAGAAACGTTGTAATTAGCAACATAAATAAGACAAAATAGCATCACTCTGCTCACAAAACTGAGGCCTAGCAGACAGCTATTAGCAGTTATTGGCTAGCACACCTATCAACCTATCGCGTGAGTGAGCCTAAATGACATTCAAACATCTTACTCATTTAAAAACAGATAATTTGTAATGATGGTAACGATTACCTATAATATCTCTGACAGAAGTTAGGTATTTCAAATTAGGAGACTATGGAAATTACTTCACTTTTGAAGTGGCCATGGAAGAATTGCATTATTTTGTTCTTTTTCTAAACTACTGAAAGTTGCTGCTTTATGTGGAAATACTATTTGTGAGGAATCTTGTCACAGTAACAAGGAGGTTGCTCGGTGCATGAATGGAAGCCCCCAGCAGACGAGACCTACTTTAGAGTAACTAAAGGAGAGTTCAGGGTTACATGTTCCAGCTATATACTTTATCAAAAAGGAACATTTTAAGCCTAACCTTGAGAACCTAAAGTAGAGAGGTTGTCCCTCTCCTGAATCCAAAGTGGGAGCTGGTTCCACAGATGAGAGGCCTGTCCCATCAGCCCCAAGTGGTCACGGCAGATCACTAGCTGTCCCTGAGCCTGGTTCTATTGCGGGTTTCTTCTCATTAAAAGGAAGTTTGAGCACTTAGCAACAACTAAGTGCTTGTTCAAAGGTGGTTGTCGTTGGGGTTTTGTCTGTATTATTGCAGAGGCTTAGACCTTACAATAAAGGGCCTTGATGTGGCTGTTGTTGTGATTTGGCACTATATAAATAAAACTGAACTGATTTGAAAAAGTAAGCCTGCAGTCTGAGAGCAAACCGTTGTACTGGGTCGAGATGCTACTGTTACCCACCATTTAGTTTGAAATGTTAGAAACATAAAACATGTTTTTGTTTTGTTTTAATGAATGGATGCTCAGTTCATTGCAAATAATGCAGGGCCACAACTCTGGCTCTGGGTTTTATTTTTTAATATTTTACAAAAACAACTAAGCAGCAGATAACTTTAAACTATAATGACTTTCCTAAAAAGTGAAGCTTTGGGTCAAGCTTCTGTACTTTTAGGGAACTGAAACTGTTCAGCGGTTATGGATGACTGCTGTTTTTACAAAGGAGCAGCTTCCTGTGGAGCAAGAAATGCATTCACACAGTTGAAGCTGAAGGTATGTAAAAGAAATCCTTCTCCTTCAATCTTTTTTTCATAATCGTAGTTTATTGCCGATTGCTTTTAGTTTTTCACGTACACAGCAGGTCTTGTGAGAGTGGGCTTGCAAACATGAGAGGTTATGTGGCCAGGGGGCAACAGCCAGGTCTTCCTGTGTTTAAGCTCTCGTAGGACTTATGTTTCCACCAGTGGAAACTTATACTCTGTCGCTCAGATCACCTTGACCACAGAAGTGAAAGGTAAACAGTGAGAACTTACTGTAGCTGTGACCTGCATTTACGAAGGTATTAATAGATCGTGGGGGGTTTTATGCTTCTCTACACTACATTTGGGTTCAGTTTGATAGTCTATGTATAACAATGCTGAGCTATGTGATTTTGCTGAGCTCACAAAAGTTATTAGTCATCCAGCTGGTACATACAAAATATATTTTATTTTACATGATTTTACATTTGGCAGTGTGTATCTTTGCATCCATTCACACTTTTCTGCTCTTTACTCTAGAGTACACACAAATATTATCCAAGTTTTCTTCTTGACGATGTTGTTTACTGCTCCTCTTCAGACTCAGAGCTGCATAGTGGAGGCTGTCTGCATCTTGGCTCTGTTAGTGACGGACAAATGGGGGGATTGTGTTAAAATATAACTGGAAACATATCATATCTAATATAAATATAGCATCTGCTTCTATTAAAAACATGTGAGCAGATTCTATAGGCTTTTTCACCTACCACTGCATCTGAGACTGTACAGGTTTGATGAGGAACAGCTCCTGCAAATCAAAGAAAGTAAATAAGCATGCTAGTCACATAGTTAGAGGATTATTATCATTAGAGATGGCAGAGACCTCACCTTTGCAGACAGAGCACATGTTTTTCCTAAGCTTGTACATGATGAAAGCCAAGACAAAGAGCAAAATAATGGAACCTCCTAATGCCGCGCTCAGGACATAAACCAAGACAGGGAAACCTAACACACACACAAAACAGATGTTACACAGTCGGTGTTTCACAGATTGCTTGAAACAGTAGTATGAAGTCACCCTCCTGCAGTATCACCTACCTGCAATCTCAACCTTTGTTCCATTTCCAAAAATAATCTCTCCACAGGAGGCCAAAGCACAGTAGTAGATCCCAGCATCAGCAGAGCTCACTGACTTTATTGCAAGATTTAAAGTGCAATTTCTCCTGTGAGGTGTTTCCTGTGAGATGTCTGCACACACGTGTCCCTCGCTGGGATACATGACTGTAGACTGAGACGCTCCATGCCTGAACCAGTAAAGGTTCAGCTCTCCTGCACATGGTTCAGCTTCCACTGTGCAGGTCAAGTTCAAAGAGTCCCCCAAGCGAAGCGGCTTCAACGTTGGCTGGTCTATTGCAGATCCAATGCTGGTCGCTGGTGATTTGACATGAAGGAAAACTCCTTGTCCAAATTCAATAGCGTTAAAGACTAAAACCCCACAGTAATACGTCCCTGAATCTGACAGGCTGAGGTTTGTGATTTTGAGATATTCTTTTGGACCTTCTACAAGGACTTTAAACCTGTCTTTATACTGTGCATAGATATCAGCTTCTGGGCTGTGCTTCATCCGAGTTGATATGATGTTAGGTTTGCCACCCAGGCTTTGCTGGTACCAAGAAAGGAAAGTTACAGCATCATCTTGACAAATGCATGTTATTGTTACATTCTCCCCGACTTTAGCAATCTTGATTCCACTCTCCTGAATTACACTTGAGGTCTTGTGAGCAGCTAGCACCTGACCTGGACAGAAGTGCATACAATTGTTTTAATTATATCTTTAACATCTCATCAGTCTCTTTTTAGAATTTACATCCTTGAAAAAAGAAACTGTGAAAAAAATGCAAAATACTCACAGATTTTATAGAGAATTGCAAGAAAAACACAAAGAGGCATCATCTCTGAAGCTCTGCAGTATGTATCGTGTGCCTTTACGGACGCACCCAACTCTTATAGGAGACGAAGACTGATCGTGATTGGCTAAGCTCAATGGTTGGTTTTCAATTCAGAACTACAGTTTGTTTCTTTCCAAAAGATCAGACTGATCAGGTGACTGGAGGTGTGATTGGGGTCAAGTCTTTTTTGGTGACATCATTGTTGCTGTACTAAGGGCAGAAGGTGTGGTAATGTGTATTTTATGTAGGAAGGTTTCTTGGGCCAATTTTTGTTAGTTATAGAGGTTTGTGTGTGTTTGTATTTGTTCTGCAACACATCTAGGGTGTTTTTTAATATCTGATCTATAGATGTATTTTTAAGTCACAACACAATTTTTCATAGTTGCATGAATTTGTATGGGGAGGTGTGTTTAAACAGTTACGTGGGTTAAGAGGGAGTGTTAGTGGGGGGAGACAGAAAGTAACGCAGAAATCAGGTCAAGAAGTTTAAACCATCTAAAGCGAATACTGACATGTTATGGTTAATGGCAAAATTGTCTATGCTGTGATCCAGTTAATGAGCATAAGGGCAGAATTCACATTTGTTCCTGTACTTGTAGACATTTTAAAAATCTCAGATTTATATGGTCATATATGAAGAAATTGGTGTACAGATGTTTTCCGGATTGACAATGGTTGGACTGTTTGGCGATAATTTGTGGACAACCTGAAAAATGAAGCTAACTTGGAAGTGACAAAAACTGCAGTTCCTCTGGGAACCATCTGAGGCTGTCTGAAAGTATTTCAAATTGAAAAGTGATTAAAAATGACTTTTAGGTTGCTCCTGGGTCTCCAACTCAGCATTTTGAGTTTGTTCTGGACTTTTCAGCTACATCTTAGTTCTTGTTATATTCTTATTTATAGTTCTTGGTTTCTTGTCTCATTATGTTAGTTCCCTTTGTGTCCAGTTTGTGCTAGTTTCATCTCTGTGACTTGTAATCAGCGTCTCCTGTGTGAGTCAGTGTTGTCTCCATGTTTGTTACTGTTTTTAGCTCACCAGTTGTGACCCCGTGTCTGTCTGGCCTCTCTGTGCCCTGTCTTTGTGGTTGTCTGGTTTTCCCTGTTCTTTCTGTCAAGTTCATAAATATTTAATCTTGGTTCCTGTGTTAATCTCTTCCTGTTCCTGTAGTCATCTCTTTGTGTTTCGTCCGTTTGTGTCCTCTTGAAGTTTGTCATCTCTACATGTTTGTTTACATCTTGTCAGCTAGTACCTACCCTGCTCTATCAGTTTTTCTTTTCCTGTTTGTTTTCTGCCAGTTGCCAGCTAATAAAGCTGAGCTTTGAGTTTAATTCTGCCTGCTGAGACCTACATCTGGGTCTGATCTTAGTCAGCCACATGCCTGTTTCATAACACTTGGATTTGACTTGGACTTGTCTGCCCACACAAAGAAAGGTATTCCTACACTATATTGATGAAAGTATTCCCTCACCCACTCAGAACATTAAATTCAGGTGTTCCAATCACTTCCATGGCTACAGGTGTATAAAATCGAGAACCTATACATGCAAAATGTTTCTACAATCATTTATGAAAGAACTGGTCGTTCTCAGATTTCCAGCATGGTACAGTGATAGAATATCAGCAACAAGACCAGTCATGAAATGTCTTTGCTACAGTGTTTTAAAAAAGCAGGACTGATTGGGAATGACAGCAACTCATAAATGAAGTGTTAGGTCACATAAAACCACAGAGCTGAGTAGGCGCATAGTGCGCAAATGTCACCAACTCTCTGTAGAGTCAATCACTACAGACCTCCAAGCTTCACGTGGCCTTCAGATTAGCTCAAGAACTGTGCATAGAGAGCTTCATGGAATGGGTTTTCATGGTCAAGCTTCATCCAAGACTTACGTTACAAAGCAACTCAAAGTGTCCGATGCAGCACTGGGCTCTAGAGCACTGAAGCCGTGTTCTCATGCTTGTCTGTCTGGCAATCCAATGGGCGAGTTTGGGTTTGGTGGTTGCCAGGAGAACAGCGCTTGTCCAGCTGTACTGTGCTAAGTGTAAAGCTTGGTGAAAAGGGGATTACGGTGTGGGTTGTTTTTCAGGAGTTGGGCTTGGCCCCTTAGTTCCAGTGAAAGAAACTCATAGTGCTTCAGCATACCAAGACACTTTGGACAATTTCATGCTCCCAACTTTGTGGGAAGTTTGGTGTGGAAGAACTTAAGTGGGCTGAGTCCCTACCTCAACCTGATGGTTGGTTTGATTACACAGCGAGGTTTAATGTAACATTGCTTTTGCAACGCTTGTTTATTTCCTGTAGTTTCACAGGTTCTGTGCACATATGTTTTGTCAAAGATCGCACTCTGTGTGTGGACAGGGCAGTGACAACTGGAGGAGAGACAGATGCTGTTGTGTTTTTCTTTTCTTTTTCTTTTTTTTGCTGACAGATGTTGATTTCACTTCATGCCACTGCAATAAAATGAACTAGAAATTCATAGAAAATTGCAGGAAATGTGCATTATTCAACCCTCCACCCATCCATCCACTCACCCACCCGCCCACACACACACGCACCATTGTTCTCTTCTTTTTTCTGGGTTGTTTCAGTTTTGTAATGAGTGGCAATGTACTTTCAAAAGGTGACAAAATATTCTGGTCCATTCCCACAAATGTTTTGGATGTCAACGTAAATGCACATGACTGTGAAGTCCAGACATTTCACCAGTAACTGGCAAGATTACATTGAAGGTTCACTCTGACAAAAATGACTCAGGGTGCCAGATTAGAGCCCCTGGTAAAAGATTCCAATGCACACTTACATGCACTTACATGTTTTTGGTGGTGAAAAGGGAACAATCTTGACTGTTGTCAGGTATTTTTATCCATTTTCATACTTTTAGCTAACGTAGCATTTTCATTGGCTCCTTTCAGCTTCGCACTTGTCACATTTAGTTGCATTAGAACTTCACCAGGCAGAAGTAGACTACTGCGTGTGAATCATATAAGTCTTTTTGATCTTTGTGGTCAGGTACTGTTTTAAGAAAGCTGCGGTGAAACTTCTACGACTGTTGACTCAGAACAGATGCTGCTTTACTGACCAACAGTCTTCTCACTTTAACCCACACTTCCTGAGTAGTGCAAAGTGACAGTAAGCTGTGCAATGCTCACGGCTTCTTTGACAAGTCAGAGCTACAATGGAAACATTTTGTTGTCGTTCTTTTACGAACAGTTGAGAGGAAGTCGTGTTGCAGGTTAAAAGCGTCAACTTAAGGACCACTGGTAATGAAGAGAAAAGGTGTTTAGGTGATTTTGGCTTGGTGGACAAGACTTTTTCTTTCTCTCAGTTGTCATTTTATTGTCTTCTGTTCTCATGTTGAACTTCTCCAAAAAGCATGGCCATGACATTTTTCCACTTGGGGCATCTGGCCATGAAGTCTTTATTTTTCCAGTCAGTTCACAAAAAATCCAGAGCAGCATACTTTATTTAAATAAACTGCAAACATGTTATTATGTATTTTCCGATTCCTTTCACTTAGAGTGAGCAGGGTTAAAACAGAGATATTAAGAAGTTGCTCTTTGAAGCTATAGGTTTAGACGGCCAATGCAGTAAGAAAAAAGAAATGAGCGGATGTTTTGTGTATTTGGCTCTTCCGTGTTCAAATCATAAAAACCAAAGTGTAGCTGATGTAATTATGCTTATTCTTTGCCTTCAGTTTTAAAGGGTGCATGTAAATAGATGAACATGGGACTATGTTAAAGTAGCTTTGTGTGAATATACTTTAAAGTTATTGAATACTGAGCCTTGGTGAGACCACCCTCAGTTCATCCTCTGGTAGAAACAAGCTGTTTTAGCTCCTCCCGCTTTAGGGGTACCCGCCCTTTAAACAAACTCTTCTGATTGGCAGCCTGATGAGCAGCATGTAGGTGGTGCTTCTGCGCTTGCAGCCAGAGATGTGTGGCTGAGATGACCATATAAAGAATAATCTCTCACAGTCACTCTCACTTGCTGTACACAGATAGAAGAGTAGAAAAACACAACAGTAATGGATTGTTTTGTTTCGTGACTTTAAACTTTGGCTGTGTTGAAATCCTTGTATAAGCATGTCTTGCCACTTGGTAGTTATTGTGAAACAATTTGGTATTTTTTTAAAGCCTTGAATTCTGATGGTCATTTGAATATAAAAATCATATAGCATCGTCAGTCAAACCGGGTTTTAAAAAGTAGAAATGACGCAACAGAATATAGGGGAAAGCACAGTAGGTACATGAGGCTTGGTCAGCAAACTTATTTTGTAGTTTTTCGTTCATATATTTGCAGTACTTGCCGAGTTTCAATAGACCCAGAGAAAGCTAGAAGCTATCGTGGTTTCCTAAAACAATATTAACTCATCATTTATCAAAATGTTTTAAAACCATCAAAAACTATGAATGTAGACTGAATCCATATTCCAAATAGGTCAAAAACACTGTGAACACCACAATGGGGAGGAGTATGTATGTTTTTCCACTGTGCTTCAAGAAGTAAATTCAGGTCACTCGGGGGCATTTCCATTATCACAGTACATATGCGTGCCTGCACTGCTGGGCAAATATCTCATTTAGTGGCCCACACTTAAAGCATTTTGCTTAAATTAGTTTATGAAAATGGATCAAAAACAGGAATATGGTAGCAACTTAAAACCAAATGAAATGTTTTTTTGCAAAATAAATTAAAATAATTATAAAAAAACATGGTGACAGAGAACAGAAAGTAGAGCCAGGCCCCTACAAACCTTATCATATTGCTCCTCCTCCTTCCTCTATATATTCAAACAGGTTCAGCTCTGCATCACTTCACTACTGTTTTTTCTTTGTGACTTGACTGTGGGGAGGTTTTGAACTTATTAATAGACATAAGTGTCAAAGCATACGTGAGAAGGAGAAGTGACAGGTCACAACTGTTACTGTGAAGCAACTGGAACAAACAAACAGCATAAAAAAACAACCACATAGACATCCTGCCAGGACGGAGGAGCGGTGGGTTGTTTGTGTGGGGGGACTGGTGAAAAAACCGCTGGGCTTAAACTCGCTGTTAGATAGGCTGACCACAGTGGGAACTCAGTAGCGAGATGTGTTTTTGCATTTCTTATTACTCAGCCGGCTGAAAAACACATCCGTCTCAATAGGAAACAAGACCAAAGTTGAACAAACATCCACTCCTTACGACCCTCTGTTTGTTTGTTTGTTCTTTCTGGATAAATAACATGATGTCAAATGAAGTCATGACAGTCACATTTCATCATGGCACCAGGTTAAAAGCATAACTTCCTGAATTACTCACTTATGAAATTCCATAATTTCAGAAAAAAAGTAGCACTGTGCTCCAGCAGATTGCTCCACTGCTTCTTTGCTACCTTTCTTACACAATAAAGAAGAAAAGTGTTTGTTTTAAGACATCAAACATTGTCATGATCGTGGGGTTTCGGGGGGTTGAACAAAGGGGGCAGCGAGTAGCTTTTTATGTCAGTCAACCACAACAACACATCTAAACACCTCACTGTGTGGGTGGATTGCTTTGTGTTTTGAACAAGACACGTCTCACAAACATCAGTCTTTGATATGTGGAGACAAGCATCTTGCCTTTGTGGTGAGCTTACCTGAAATAACATATATCTCACCACTTAGCTATCTAGTGGTCACGGCCACATCTAAGCGTTGTGTGATCGCTTGAGCAAAATGTTGATCTTTTCACAAGTTTACCAAAGCACAATAATGGTGGGCTACTGCCCTCTGCTGGTCTAAAGCGTAACTGATATTAAATTGCAGGGTCCACCCAGTTTACATATTAGTTTCTATCTGATATGTAAACTTTAAACTGATCTGTACTTCCATCCATTGTTTTAACATTTATTATGTGACTTTTGTTGCCATGATGCCAGGTCCCTCTTGGAAATAAGATTTTTAATCTCAATGAGATTTTTACCTGGATAAATAAAGGACTAATAAATTAACCATTTTGTGCAAAAATTGTTTATATAGTTTTAATGGTTTAACAATTTTAATCTTTTATTATGCATTGTTGTGCTTTGATCTTAGCATATATATAGATTTAGATTCACAAATGCAAAGTTAGGTAAGGGTTAAAAGAACAAGATAAAATAAAAAAGATTAAAAAAATAATTTAAAAAAGATCAAATAAGGATAAAAATAATTAAAAATAATAATAATAAAAATACAAATAGGTAAGTGAAGACAAGTGTGGTATGCTGATGTCGATGTAGAGTCTGATAGCAGTGGGGACGAAGGAGTTGTTGAGTCGGGATGTTCTAGATTTCACACTTCTGAACCTTCGTCTATGAAGGTGTAACCTATGTTGGGGGTGTGTGGGTTCTTTGAGGATGGAGGCAGCTCTCCTCTGCTCTGCAGAGAGGGCAGCGGAGTCCTGATAATCTTCTCCACAGTTGTTATCACTCCCTGCAGGCGTTTGCGGTCCATAGCAGTAGTGCTGCTGTATCATGAAGTGATGCAGCTGGTCAGTGTGCTCTCCACAGTGCAGCTGTAGAAGCTGCAGAGGATCTTGGCCGACATACCAAATTTCCTCAGCCTGCTAAGGAAATACAGCCGATGTTCACCTTCAAATCAAAAGGTTTGCCTTTCTACTGAAACCAACATGGTTCATAGGGTGACACTTTCACTTTGAAGGTGAAATTCACTTGTCTGGTTTCAGCTTGGTGGTAAGCTAGTGAGTGGTGTTCAGTGTCCAGGTGAGGTCCTCACTGATGTGGATTCCCAGGTATCAAAAGCTGCTCACCCTTTCCACTTCACACTCACGGATAAACAGCGGCTGGTGAGGCCTCCTCTTCTTCCTCGTGTCCACTATCATCTCCTTTGTCTTATCAGGGTGGAGGTTAAGGTTGTTGTCCTCACACCATGACCCCAGACCGGCCACCTCTCTCCTGTAGGCACCTTGTCCCGTCCCGTGATGCGACCGATCACTGCAGTGTCATCCGCAAACTTCAGTATGATGTTATCTTTGTTGGAGGCGACACAGTCGTGGGTGAACAGGGTACAGAGGTTGGGGCTGAGGAGGCAACCCTGTTGGACACCAATGTTTGTGGTAACGCTGGCTGAAGTCTTGTTGCCAGCCAAGAAAGTCTAAAAATTCTTTCCACACTATGCAGAAACTGAGTCCCTGTTGTCATGAGAAGAAGGGTTGGGGCCTAAACGCAAATCTCTCAGACAGACTAGCTGAGAAAGAGGAAAACAAACCCAAGAAAGGATTTAAAATAAAGTCTTAAGGCTTCAGCAACGGTCGGCAGAGGTTTTATGTAAGACACCAACACGTCTGAAAGGACTCACTAGCTTACCACCAAGCTGAAACCAGACAAGTAGAATGTTCACCTTTAAAGTGAAAGTTTCACCCTATGAACCATGTTGGTTTCAGCAGAAAGGCAAACCTTTTGATTTGAAGGTGAACATTCTCAGTTTTTAGGTTGTGGCACACTTTTCACTCTTTCTCTACTGATTAAGAAACTAGTTGGCAAGTGTTTGCAACCAAGTCAGCGTCTACTGTGCACACTAAGAGCAACTATTTCTGCTTGTGACCATAGGTAGGTTAAAGTGCCGCACCATATACTTCCTGGCAATCATGAGGTCACTGACAGACTGTAAATTTGGGTCTCTGTGCTTTAGAAAATGAGGTCCCAGTGACTGCCAGCAACTACATACAGGATTCCAAAACACTGAAACATGTCTTTAGGGCTTTGTAACTGGGGCCAAAGAATCAACAGGGAGCACTGGGTAAACAGGACGCTCCAACATACTGAGTGCCAATCACAGGAGGTATTGGAAGGGAAATATGGAACATAATCAGGGTAACTACAAAAATCAGACAAAAAACTCACAATAAACAAGACATGAGTGACAATAACTAACAAAATAACCACACAAATATGCTTATAAAGTGATAAAAAGTCATAGTGAGAAGAAATGTGATCCCCTAATAATCCTCTGATAATTGTGATAATTTTGTCATTCTTTTTCTAATCCTTTATGTGTAGAGTGTTACTTAAAAAAAGTAAAAGTAAAAGAGGAAGTCCAAAAAAAGTTTAACTTAAAAAAAAAACCCTAATTTAATCACTCAGATGGTCTAAAATTGAAAGTGATTCACACAAAAATAGCTGTTTCCTGTGGCACATGACGGAAACCCACATCCGTACGTGATTCTCGCCCAGAGATCATATTCAGCGAGTGTGTATTTTTTCTGTTTTTGTAACAGTCACTGTATAAAGGCCTGCATGTGTTGCGTTTAGGCAGGGGTGTCAAACATAAGGCCCGGGGGCAGGAATCAGCCTAGTAAAGACACCAATCTGTGCCACTGGATACCTTCAAAAAATGTGAAGGCGTACGCAGATTTAAAATGTCAAAACATTTTGACTAATTTAACAGCTTTATCCATATCAGTAACATTACATTCAGTGGTCGAATGTTTGTGGATGGTGGAGGCATTTCCGCTCTTTGTTTTGATCATTGCTGAGGTCATTACTCAAAACTTAAAAAGTAATGCATTACATTACTTAATTACACGCAGGAGAAAGATGTTCTTTATGCTACTCGATAAGTTGCTTTCATGTTACTGTGTAAAATTATCTGAGAGTGTAAGAACCAAGAAGCAGGATCGATATGCAGGCAGACTAAGGATTCTGGGGAATTGGACTACTGGGAACCAGTTCTCTACAAGAACCGGTTCTTGATTCCCATCTCTTTTCATACTGCATACCAAGTAATTAACTAAAACAGAAACAATTAAAAGACAGATTTCTTTTTTTTAATAAAAAACAAACACATAGAAAGCACACATTTAACATGTAGTTTTACTGTTTGGGTTGCTTAATGTCAAAAATGGGCTGTATGTGGCCCACGATGTAAAATGAGTTTTACATCCCTGCATTTGGAGGACATTTGTCACATTTTTCTAATAGGGGTAATTCACAAGTACAATAAATATGGGGATTCAGCCAGTAGATAACTGACTTACCAACTTTTACTTAGCTATTATTAATATCTGGTTTTTATCCACACTATGAATATCTCCTGTCTTCCTCTCCACACCCCAACGTGACAGATGTCTGCCACTCTTTTAGCCTGGTTCTGCTGGAGGTTTCTTCCTTTTAAAAGGGAGTTTTTCCTTCCTACTGCTGCCAAAGCGCTTGTTTATAGGGAGTTGTCTGATCGTTGGGGTTGTCTCTGTATTAATTTAGGGTCTTTACCTTCCAATATAAAGCACTTTTTCTCTTTTTGCTTACCTGCCATTAACTGTGCTCCCTTAGCTGAACAATAACGGAAAGTTAAACTTAATATTTCCCTGACACACATATGCAATGTGGAGCAAAGCCTCACAAAGTAAAAGAACAGATAAATTTAGAATAAAAACAAGGACACAAGACAAGCACCACAAAACCCTCAAACAAAATCTCTAGACCCTGGAATCTAGTAAGGTTTGTTTCAACATCAAGACTGTTTCTCTTAGTTTAGAAAAATAAAGTTCATATATAAACTACAAGTCAAAAGTTTGGACACACCTTCTCATTTAATGGTTTTTCTTTTTTCTTTTTTTCCCTTTTTTTACTGAAGGCACACTGAAGCAGCATGGCTACCACAGCATCCTGCAGCGATATGACATTTCATCTAGTTTGTGTTTAGTTGGACCATCATTTATTTTTCAACATGACAGTGATCCCAAACATACCTCCAGGCTGTGTGAGGGCTATTTGACCAAGAAGGAGAGTCAGTGCTGCGTCAGATGGCCTGGTCTCCACAGTCACATGACCTAAACCCAGTTGAGATGGTTTGGGATGAGATGTGAGAATGAAGGCAAAATAGCCAACAAGTGCTCAGCATCTCTGGGAACTCCTTCAAGACTTTTGGAAAAACATTTCAGGTGACGACCTCATGAAGCTCATAGAGAGAATGCCAAGTGTGCAAAGCAGTAATCAAAGCAAGGGGTGGCTATTTTAAAGAATCTAAAATACAAAACATGTTTTGAGTTATTTCAAACTTTTTTTTTTTACTTGTCCAACCTCTGGTAAAAAATTAATGCACAGCTTAAATGCTCACAAACAACTCAAACCCACAGGAAAAGTTTAAGTGAAATTTAGTTGGGTCACCAAATGTAGGCTCATAAATTTTAACGTATATGCTGAGTTTCAGTAGAGTTAAGAGTTGAGTTAAGCTAGATTCCACTGTGATTTCACTCAGTGTGCACAAATGAATACTGTCTGAAAGTAGTTTTGTTCCAAAGACATGAAAGAGTGTACATCAAAATGTGTTTCCTGTAATAACTTTTTTCCTCTTTAAAATAGGCCAGGAACACTGAGTTGGCTACTCGTTCACCACTTTGGGCAGCAGTGGCATTGTGTGGTGAAACTGGGCGGTTTTGTTTTGGGGGTTTTTTTCCACTGTGTTATGAAAAAGTGAATTTAGGTCACTCAGCCACAAACAGTCCTGCCCCTAATGTCTGCACTGTTGCACTGTTGATCAAATAACTCATTTAGGTGCATTGCATTGGAAACATTTTTGCAATCCACCCACCCAACCCTCCATCCATCAGTACATCCTGAAATTTATTCCACTTGGAGCCTAATCCTCTTTTTTTTTTTTTAAATAAACAACCAAAACTAATTGAACAACCTTCTTTGAGAAGTTAATATTAACCAACATCACAGATGTAGGAGAGACAGTGGCCATAATTTTGACTTGACTGAACAAAATCACTCCACGTGAGACGTTCTAATTGCAGAGTAGATTGGGTCGTTGACTGTGTCCTTTCTTTGTCTCCTACTTGTCTCAATCTTTTTCTTGAAATTCACAGTTGCATACTGCACAACAGCACAGTCTTCATTCTGTGGGGAATACAAAAGTCATATGATAGAATTTGTCCATATACAGTGCAATGCAAAAGTCTTCATCCACCCCTCATTTTTGATATTTTACTAGGAAAATGTGAAATGTGTGGAAATACAGTTTAAAAGAAAACAGCAGGCTTTGTACAGTTCCAACAAGTTTGAACATTTTTGTATGAACACTCTAACCCTGTTCAACACAGCCTTAACTCTTAATCTTTTTTTGTAATTTTTTAGTAGTCTTCAGGAATAGTTCTTCAGTTCTGGAGAACTATTCCTGAAGACTACTAGCTCTTCTTTGAACGTTGGCTGGTTTTTATTCTGTTCTCTGTCAGGATGATCGGGGCTCTGGGGCCAGTTCATGACTGATAGTGTTCTACTGTTTCTTTTTCTATACATATAGGCTTTTACTGGACTAGCAGCATGTTTGGGATCATTATTATTAAAAATGAAATGGATTAAAATCTCAATCTACCACTTTATTCAATCAATTTTGACAAAATGCGCAACATCATTGGCTAAATGCAGCCCCAAACCATGACAGAGTCTCCTCTGTGGTTGATAGATGGCTGTAGACATTCACTGTCATGTTTCTATCCTGACCTCCTCCATACATACTAACGATGATGTGAACTGACATTTTCTCATTTTGATTTTTCACTCCATAAAACCTGCTGCCGGTGGTATACTTCAGGTTTTTCTCACCTGATGGATTAACTGAAAGACCGGATGCATCTCTCAGGAGCTGTGTCAGGTCTTTGCTGGTGATTTTCTTATTTCTTAAGAACACGATTCTCATTTCCTACTCATGCATGCAAATATTTATAGACACGCTGTGTTGAGATATACCAAGTATTTGGCTCACAGATCCTTTTTTCTTGTTGGTGCAAAGTTGTTATTTTATTTCTGTCACGCTGTGCTATCTTTGGCATATTTGGAAGCTTCAGCTAAAGAAATAGGAAGAAATTATGTGCTGTGCCTAAAGATACAATTTAATATTAGTTCATTGTCAGTTTTGGGGAGTAACGGAAATACAAGATATGAGTAACTATTCCGTTACAGTTACCGTTTAAAAAGGTGGTATCCAGAATGCAGTTACTTTGTTGAAATAAATAGATTATACGGAGGTCTTTTCCTGTTTCATATGTTAGGCTATGCTCTCTCTATTTTTGGTAATTCCACGTTGGTGGAAACCAAAACAAAACACGCATTAAGTGGCTCTAATGCTTGTGTCTCAATCTCGCGGCCCATGTCAACTATCCTTGCGGACCGCATAATGACGTGAATAAATATTTTTTTTAAATATTATTTAAAAAATGATTTAATATGAAGGCAATAGGTATAGTGTTACAGGCACAGCCCTAAACAATGTAGCCTCATGGGCAGTGTAGTCCGTGCTGCTGGGAGAGTGGACTGCTATACCCGTTATGTGTCTGTGAGCGAGGGAGGGAGAAAAAGGAAAAGTACGAGCTGTCACCAACCAGAAAAGTGAGATGGAAGTGTGTAAATATAATAATAACCACTGCAGCCAAGAAGAGTGCCTGACGAGCCCAGTTGTAAGTAAGCTATTAAGACTCGACTGTACACCGTGTTTGTGTTCCGTTGGTGCAGCCTTTCAACGCCTCTCTCTGTCTCAAACTTGACCCAGACAACAAAGTAAAGCTAGTTTTCGGTTACGAGCCCGACACGAAACCCGACATATTAGCTAGAGGTCCCTTTACTACGGTTCGGAGCCGCAGACCTGTTTTATATACGCGCGGAATAGTTTCTATCCCGGATCGCTGCAAAAAGTTCAGCCTCATCTAATACCCACCCTACTGTCAGTGGCGGTCCTAGCCTGTTTGGCGCCCTAGGCGAACACTCCCTCTGGCGCCCCTCCCCACACACACACATAAAACCATAAAACCATACCGAACTTCACCAGAGAAATATACACACACACATATGAAGAGAGAGAGAGTATGCATAGTATGCAAACGGCTACCAAACAGCCATCATAATTCGTCATACAATGAGAACAGGAGAAATCAACAATTGACAATGACTAATTAATATTAAAATATGTAACATAATGTATTGTTTGGAGTTTAGTCTGTTACTGTTACCGTTTTTACCATTTCGTTTTGGAGCAACTGTAACCCACATTATTTCCTTAAGGATTTATAAAGTATTCTGACTCTGATTGTTTCAGGATGACCTGCCATTATCCAATGACTCTGCTTACCTGTATCTTTTGCTCGTTTCTCCTCCTCTTCTTTTCTCTTTTTTCTAAACTGAGCACCTGATGGCTTTGAACTTTTCTTGTCCATCTTCCATCGGTTTTAATTTTGCACTCCAGTATGAACACCCATCCCCCAACTCGAGGATCACCACAACATAACCTAACAGACCTACACCTTAGTTCACAGATTTGCTTTGTCTAAGGTTTATTTCTGGGATTTCGCACAACCCCGGATTCAAATAATGAATACATAATGAACTTGGATTTACATCATTATGAATGAAATGTGCTCTATTTGGAAGCAGCCGGCCCCACTCCCCTTTCGACAGGTTGTGTGTGAGACTTTAAATCATCAAACTGTAAATTATAAATTGTTATTGATCCCTTTACCCCTAGTTTATTGTTTGTTTACTTGCACTGCTGTAACTGGAGCCTCGTCGTCTTGTCTCTCTAAATACTGGACTGTATGTAGCGGAGATGACAATAAAGTTTACTTTGACTTCAGCAGCAAGCAGGCGCCCCGAGGGCTCTCGCACTCACTTTACGCATATAGAATTTCGAAAAAACATCGATGCAAATTATAAGTCTACATCAGGATGTCTGGTGTTTTCGTGTTTGTTGGTTTGTTTTTATTTTGTTTTATTTTGCGAGTTGGTTATTAGATGCTGCTCCAGCCAGCCAGAGAATCCCCCGCCGCCCCGCCATCTCCTCCCTGTGGAGCAAGCAGCAGGCGCACCTCGCAAACGGAGGGCGCCCTTACTCCCAGCAAATGGGCGGTAGAAAACCGATCGGTGCCTATGCCATTCCCAATATGCACTGGCATGACATCGGGGCAGCATGAGTACGAGCAATTTTTTTTGTTTTGTTTTGTTTTGTTTGGGTTTTTTTGCCGATGCCCGTGATGTTGCCCCCCACCATGATGCCGCCCCAGGCAACCGCCCGTGTCGCCCGTATCAAAAACCGCTACTGCCTACTGTTACTCATTTTACATTAAGATTTCAAAATCTAGTTGTTATTGGTATGGCGAGTATTCTTCAGTAATAGTAATAAATCACACAACAATAGGACATTCATGTAGTTGTAAAAAGCATATATTAAGTAATCCAAAGTATTCAGAATACGTTACTCTTATTGAGTAACGTCACGGAATACGTTACAAAATACATTTTGGGGCATGTATTCTGTATTCTGTAGTGGAATACATTTTAAAAGGGACTTTCCCAACACTGTTCATTGTTAAGTTGCGTGTTATGTGTTGATACAGCACTGGTTCATCCCTTGATAATTATTCCCCACAGTGGTCAGGCACTGGACTGAAAATGACTGAAAAAGCCGTTCAAGTCCAAAGAAAAACTCTTGAGAAAGCATGAAGAACTATTGCTCAAGACCATTTAACAAATGACCACAAAGTCTAGCTGCTTTGAAGCTAAATGTAAGAAATCAGAGGTGTTTCAAGACTTACTGTCCTGTGCTTTTTCTCATTTACTAACCTCACAGTTCGCAGTGTATTCTGAAGTATTAGGCTGTTGAAGTGACCCTTATGAAAGAAATAGAAAGGAAAGAGAAATTTAACTGCTGACATATTTTATAGTCATCAGAGTGCTTTTATGATAGGCAATAGTTACCTTTAGAAGGACACTTTTTTCTCTGGACTATTTTGCAGAGGGCACCACAGAAGATTACATTGAAAATAACTGAGACAACCAGAGCTGCAACCACAGTCTTAACCAAGACAGGGGCAGCTTCGTCCTGTTTCACTGCAAAGACATAGAAAGCAACGTAGAGTAAGCAAAAGAGGAAAATAAGAGGGTGAAAGAAACTATAATAGGTTTTAGTTTTAAAACATATGTTCCAAACCTACGACATCCAGTCTCGTGCCTTTCCCAACAAGCACCTCACCGCATGAAGCCACAGCACAGTAGTACGTCCCGACATCAGACCGGCTCACGTTCTTCTTTGTGAAGCTGTAAACGCATCTCTGTGCAGAGCAGCTGGACTCAGACTTCTTCGCACAGTGGCTGCTGCTATTTTTGTGGCTGTACATGATTCCCAAGTGAGAATCTACTGTATCCTTTTTGAACCAGTAAACGTTGTCTTCTTTGGCACTGGATCCTTTGAGCAGCGTGCAGTTCAGTGTCACCGAGTCTCCTTGTTGCACAGAGTTTGATTCTGGCTGCTTTAGGAAAGTCCTGTGACTGGGCTCTAAAAAAGTATTAAAAACACATGTTAAAATAGGAAGTGCAAGAAAAAAAAGCAGATTTGTTTTTATATTGTTAATATTCCCAAATCTTAAAAACTTTCCACATTACCTCTCAGGACCAAAAACGTTCCGTCGTCAAATTTAGTGACTGAGATGCTGGTCTGTCCACAGTAGTACATGGCCGAGTCAGAATCCTGAACATTAAAAATGTTCAGACGATAGAAATCTTCTCCACTATCAACTGAAATGCGTTGATTGTTTTTAAACCCGGGGTGGAAGCTGTTGGAGTCGAGTAAATGTTTGTAGAAAGAGGATACGACTCGAGGTGACTCTCCTATGACTTGCTTGTACCAGGAGAGATATTTGGCCCTGGAGGCAAAGGAGCAATGAAAAGTCACATTATCTCCAAGGTTAGCGTAGAGGAGCGCACCATCTGGAACACAAATCAAGATAAGTTAGAGACTGCTGCAATACCAATTCACAGTTCCACAAACACAAGATAGAGAGATTTAAGGCAATTGCAACTCATTTACAGCATAAATGAATAAAAAGTGAGTGTGAAGGACTTACAGGCTCTAAAGAGAGGAACCAGGAGCACGTAAAACCTGAGCATCCTTTACTCTCACTTCACTGTTCAACCTCTTCCAGCACGAGTGCAGTTTGAACAAAGGAGCCACAGAGAGAAGTTACAACCTCAGCAGAAAAGGTGTAGACGTAACAGAGGTGTGGGTGTCAGTGCTCATCCACAGAAGGAAGTCAAAAACTCTGAGCTGACCTTTTTCTTAATGAGAAATACAAGTACATGCATATATCCATATGCGTTGTGTACATACTTAATTCACACATCCTGAATCCAAACTGCACTTTTATCAGCTTCTCCATCAAACACCTGCTTCTGCTTGAACTGCGTTGCTGTCTTTATGGTGTAGATGGTTTTTCACAGCTATAGAAGCACACAAAGCCCACTGCAGTGAACTTTGTGTGCTTTGACTTTGCATCCCCGTGTGCATGTTGATGCTTCTTCTTCCTTTGATGACTGCTCTTCATTTGACCTGAAGAGGGCAGCAAAGAACTGTATTATCCTCACTGCTGATGTTTTCCCCCCACACATGATCTAAGATTTCTTGATGAGTCACTTTGTTTGTATTCTGGTTCTCAAACTTTTAAGTGGTTCACAAAGTGAAACAGTGATTCAAAGCAAAAAATATCTAACTCTCAAGATTAGTTAGAGGTTGAGAGAAAGTGCACAACGTTTCAAACATTCCTAAATGCATTTTATTTGCATTTTACAGATGTGGAATATCAGCATTGTATTTGTTTTCATTTCTAAGTCCCCCTGAGATGTAAGTCATCTAATTTTTAGTGTTTTAAAGCAGCGGTCCCCAACCCCCAGAAAAAAAAAAAGGTTGGGAGCTGCTGTTTTAAAGAACGAAAAAGGATTATTTATTATTATTGCATATTTTATTTATGTTGATGACTGACTCAGATTACCTATTTTAAAGAAAACTGTATTTATTATAGTGAGTGACAATAAGGGAGCAATGTAACAGACTGATATTACACCCACACACAGCAGTAGTAAAACTGTTGCTGTCAGAGCACAGATCCTGAACAAAAAGAGGTCAGAGCAGGTCTGGAGCTTTGGGGGGATTCCACTGGTCTTTTTCCTTGGTTGCACAGATCAGACAAGAGGAAGCAGTCTGCTTTCAAAAAAAGGAAGGTGAGCATGCATTTGCATTGGGGCATTAGATATGTACATGTAAATGTATATGGAGATAAGCGCAGATGTGCTATTTTGGGTAAATGTCAGGTCATCAAGTGTGTTATACTGACAGATAATGCAAACATAGTAAACGAAGCAGTTTTCTCTGATCAGAGAGCTTTCTTGGGTGTTTTATGATTTGACAGATGAATCTTGGTTGATGTCATATGCTAGTATTTCATATTTTAAGATTTAGCGCTGTTCAGAACTACTTCAGTAAATGTGTTGCTCAGTCGGGTGTGGTCAGGGTGGTATGGCTATAAGCTAGGCTTACTGTTTCCCTCCGCTGGTGTCTCATCTAAGTACTAACCAGATCCGACACTGCTTAGCTGGAAAGATCACATGAAACCAGGCGAGTCAGACTGTCAATCAGTCCATGTAAGTGGTGTGAAGAATCTGTCTGTCTGATCAGTTGTAAACTCTTATCTGATTCTGATTTGGTGTATTGCAGAAGACCTCAATAAGTGCAGTCTCAGGTTGTTTGTTGCATGAGCAGCTATGGTATTTTGTCTAAAGTCACATCTGTGGGTGACTATGCGCGGTCCACTCCCCGGGTGGGGAGGATTGCACAAACACACACATAGAGTAGTTTGGCTATCTTTGTGAGGACACTGATGAATTTAAAAGCCTCTTTCTAATATTTAATCCTTAACCCAGCCTGATCATCACAGAAGGCTTCAATCATTCACTCATGTTCTTTGGATAAGTGGTTCTGGAGAAGACTGCAACCCCACACCCTGTTACTGTTTAAAATGCAGTGAGTGTGTGCTTGTAGCTGTCATCGTTTCCCACAGTAACCTAATGACTGCTATGTTTACTCAACACCTCTAAATTATAGTCTCTCGCAAACAGGAAGCATACCAATCATTTGAATACAGAGATGAAGCTGTAAAGTCTTAATTAAATGAATTCAAATCTATTTATTTTGTCTTTTGGACAAGCTCCAGAGAAACTTGTGTGACAAATGACTAACCTCAGAAAAGGTTTGCCAAGATGTTATTTGTTGAAGCAAGCATGCAGAGGAAAGTACAACAACAGCTCTAGAGATTCACACTTCACTGCAGAGTGAGGGAAAACAATCGTAGGGAAAACAATGACTTGTCAGCGACGTGCAGTCAACTATTTTTTTTCTGTCTTGTCACTGTATAATTTTCACGTCAAGAAACATAGACCATGCCCTGTGCTCTCTCCTTATCACCCACCAAATATAGAAAGACAAAAAGCAGAAGTTATAACTCAGCACTTCATTCTTCACCATATTAAAAACATGTTTGCTTTGTAATTGAGAAAACTCCCTGTGATAAAGTCTGTAATTAGGAAATTTGTATTATGTTCCCGATCAGTTATCATGCATAGGTTTGATAAAATTGAGCAACTTTGAGGGGCTTTCTTGAAGGGGCGACACTATCATTGGCCAGCAGGTGTCAGTGTAGACCCAGTGCACTTATAGAGGAGGGCTGGATTCACACTTTGAGGTACTTTGTACTTGGTGACAGTGGGGCAAACGAACTCCCTTCTGTCAAAGGCCTCGTCTGGTTAAGGAGAGAGCAGAAGGTGAGCAGTAAGAAAAACAGCACACAGTAATAACGAGAGGTTGGTTGCGCAAGTGAGATGTTCAAGTCCAGAGCTAGAGAGAGAGACAGAGAGAAGGCTCTGAGGACAAAACGCAAAATATGGGTGAGAGAAACGATCCAAATTTAACAGCATGCATGAGACTCAGTGTTAACCAAACAGGATGTTTACCAGAACTGGCTGAAATACTCTCATTTTCTCAAATGTTTTCATCCCCAAGATCTGAGTCTACAATTAACACGGGCTCATCAAAACTGGACAAAAAATGTCACTCGGTCTGATGAGTCTCAAGTTCTCCTGAAACATTTGGTTGGTAGGGTGAGAATTTGTGATAAATGACATGAAAGCATGGATCCATCCTGCCTTGTAGTGAAACTCAAGCTGGTCGTGGTGTAACGGCGTGGGGGATATTTGCTTGGCACATTCTGTGTCCCTTAGTACCAACTGAGCACCGTTTAAACACCACAGTCTACCTGAGTACTGTTGTTGATCATGTCCGTTCCTTCATGACTACAGTGTACCATCTTCTGATGGCTACAATAATGCACCAGGCCAAAAAGCTTGAATCGTCTCAAACTGGTTTCTTGAACATGACAGTGACTGTACTCAAATTGAGTCACCAGATTTCAGTCTAATAGAGCACCTCCGAATAGTGGTGTAACGCGAGATTTGAATCACAGATAGGCAGTCGACGATTCTGCACCAATTGTGTGATGTTATCTTCTCAACTCTGCGCTAACAAAATGTACTTGATATAGTGGCCAGTTGGTATTTATATATTTTAAAACAGTGACCAGTGACTTTTTGAACATTTTAGCAGATAAAAATACGTGAGATTACAGGATATATATCACACAGGAAATGCATTAAAAGTAGATTCTGTGTGATATCGTGTCAGTTATTTGAGTCTTCAACAGCTGTAATGTCTGCAAAAATGAAAGCAATGCTGTGTGAATGCTTGTAGATGTCAGTGATAGCGTCTGGCCTTTTTCCTGTAACTCAAATGATACTGTGGTAGTCTATACTGACTTTATATACTGGCAGTGTATCAATCTAAAAATGACTATCTTCATTTAGTTACAGACTGGTGACTTTATGTGTCTGAACAGCTTGGGCCTCTTTAGAAACTGGTGTCTGGTTTGACACTTGGCTATAGTCTACTTCAATCTTGTGAAGACTTTAGGTTGATTCTGAGGTTTGTGACTTCCTACTTCACAGTACTTATACATCCATGAGGCTAGTGCTGTCAAAGTGTCATCTAGTAACACAGCACGACAGAGACCACATCAGACCTGCTGCAGACAAAACAGAAACAAAACGAACCGGTAAGAATTTTGTTGTTGCATTTTGTGAATCCATTGTCCAGTTTCACTTTCAAAGAGCAGGTTTTGATGACTCAGATCCATATTCACTGGAATCATGAAATGTACTGGAAATGGGTAATATCTTGCCAGTTTAATATGAGCATGAATGATGTGGCTTGTAATATATCTTTCAGATAAAGACTTACTTTAATAAAAGCTGCAAAACTACTTTTGATAGAATTTTTAGAAGATTTTGGCACAGTTTCCATCAGCAGCAACACAGTAACCAAATAAATCAATGAATGACAAAATATATATAATCCAAATTGTTCATGCCAGTCCTCCTTCCTAATTTAGTGCTTTTAGGTGTTATAGCTGTCTTTGTTGTGATGTAATAATGTTAGCCGTTGAGTTAATTAATGTCATATTTAATTCATTGTATATGCGTGTGCTACATCATTAGGTCATGTTATACATCTGCAGTTGAAGTTGTGTATAGAGGATGTGGGAAACAAGAGCAATAAGTGTGAAGGACAAAGAGATGCAGAGATACTGCCAACAAAATTATTCAGCTTTCAGCTATCAAGCTGCTTTCAAATAATGCTGTTTTGTTCTGCAGTGTCACTCTAAAAATGCATGCTGGAGGTGCAGAATAAAAGCGTTGTTCTTCTTCTTCTTCTTCTTCTTTTTTTTTTTTTTTTTTGGGGGGGGGGGGGAGGCAGTAGTGTTGGTGACCACTAACTGTGAAAACTCACACAGACGGGCTGACCAGAATGACAAACAAAAGAAAGAGAAGAAAAGAAAAGAATAGAAAAGGCAGCAATAAGAGCAGCCAGTTTGGCAAAGACAAACAGAAACGCTGTTGACAGAACCATAATTAACATGACTATTTACATCACTGTTTACAAGTTTATACCAATGTGGTTTCTTAAAATAGGACTTTATGGCAAGCCTGGAAGTTTCCCACACAAATGTACATGTGTGTGTAGTGTATCTGTATGCAACTGCTGACATTTCTTCTTTTCTTGTTTTTATGATATTATTGTAGAGTATCTACCTTAAAATGTAAAGTGCTTTGAGGTGACTGGTGTTGAATTAAACTCACTTGAATTGAAATGGATTGAATTATAGTTTATATCACCAGATGCCCTGGTTACAAGTGTTTGGCCTAATTCATACTTTAAATCCAGAGTTTTTGTGCAGCTATTTTCCTGCCCTCATAATTTGAGCCCTTTTTTTCTCCACGTTGACATATGCACTGTTGCGTCTTGTGAGTTTACATAAATGTATGACGACTGCCGCAGTGTGTAACAGTCTTCTGTATGAGTGAGAGTAGCTGTGCCCTGTAAACTCTAATGATGTGGATTCTGCTTTTTTAGCCTGTAATTTCACTCTTTTGCGACTGAGTGTGTTTATCTCTTTTTCCCTCCTTTCATCACTGTGTTCTCCAGTCAGACAGGCTTTATCGCAGGTGGGTATCAAATGTAATAGTGCATTATAGACCAAATATGGTGCGTGTGAACTGTTGTCTGTTTTATCTTCTGGACTCTGATAGGGACTAAATGCCTTCATTGTTTTTGTTTGTCCCTGTTGTTGTACCTCGTTCCCTACTAGTCTCCACTTGCCCCATTACTATGGGCAGAAACTCCTCTTGGTCCTTTGTCAGAGCATCTGTGATTCTCCCCTAATGTACTCTCAGTTTTCCCCGGATTTCTCTGATTCCTGATGCCTGGATTACGAAGCTAACTTCAGGATAAACACTGGGTTTGCTGAACTACAGAAGTGATTCACTTCTTAAAGGAACATATCACCATGGTAACTTGTGCCGTGAAGCAGATTAGATATCAACAGGTATGAAATCAATACTTCAGAAAATAGCGTCGCCATTCCTGGTTCTTTACTTTTTTTGTTTGTTTGCTTTCTGTGGTCAGTGAAAGAACTTTACAGCAGTGTTATTATTCTAAACATTATTCTCTGCAGACACTGCAGTTTAATTTTTACTCTCAAACCCTTAAACTGCACCGAGTTTGCAGCTCAGAGAAGAACAGGGAGCAGCTGATGTTTCAAAGTTTAGTTTAAAAACGCCACATTTTTTTGTTCAGCATTATTAAAGTGCATTACTGATTCTCTGCTGGGTCAACGCGTTTCATAGGTGCAAGTTGTTAAAGCGAACGTACTAAAACCACTGACTGAAGCGCAAACTATGCATCACATTCTTACAGGAATTACACACATTCAGTTGGTGATGCAGAAAGTGTGCAAATGTTGCACGCTTGATTCTAATCTGCTGATAGGTCTCTTTTACACTACTAGAACTGCAAAAACTAGAACATAGAGCACACTCTTAGACTACCTGTTCAGTCAGGGGAATAACTTCACTTGATCTGCAGACAGACTGCAGCAGCTCTTTGACCATGGTGCATGGGAGTAAGCTTTAATGCATAAGTTTAAAGTTTCTAGGTTTTATATACAGTTTTTTTTCCTTAGAAAAGTTCAATTTTTTGTCTCCTTCTTTTATGTTGATAACCATTTTATCAGCATCTGATAGAATCTCTCGAGTAGGTGATGCTCATAGAGAGTCGTGTGACCAGTGAACCGGTCAGATGATACCAAAACCATGCCTACTTCCTGTGAACATGCAGGGGAAACCCTGGTTTAATTTAGCAAGTTTGTAACCAGCTTCGTATGACTGCTAATCCTGACTGTCAGCGGTCTGACGGACAGATGGCCTGAGTATGCTCAACTCGCCTCGTAGTGCAGGGCCCTGCAGTTCGAGCTTACTCTCTTCACCTTCACCTTAAGCTGAAAGCGCCCATGTAAACACAGGCACAGTTACAACCCCTTAGATTGCAGTCTTGTGTACACTTTTTTGTTGTTGTTGTTTTGTTTTGTTTTGTTAAAAACACTGTCTGTGATTGACACAGGAAACTGACTTAAGGGTGTAACAGCTGTTGAAAAAACTAAACGAGGAACAAGGTACTTTAGAAAGTTTAACTTGTTTGGTGTCATACTATCAGAAACGAATATTCTGAGACTGGTCTGGCTCCTGTGTACTTATCTGACTTGCTGAAGCCACATGTTCCTCCTCGCTCGCTCCGTTCAGCTGAGCAGCTGCTGCTGTCGGTCCCTAAGTCGCGGCTGAAATGCAGAGGAGACCGTGCCTTTTCAATTGCGGCTCCGATGCTCTGGAATAACCTTCCCCTCCAAATTAGACAAGCGTCATCAGTGCAGGTCTTTAAGTCCAGATTGAAAACCTATTTTTATTCCCTGGCTTTTAACTCTGTAGGAAACTGACACCTTCTTATTTATTTTATTGTTTGTAATGATTTTATGGTATTTTTAATTTGGTTGTTGTTTTGATCAGTGTTGTTCAGCACTTTGGTCTGCCTGGTGTGTTCTTAAAGTGCTATACAAATAAACGATGATGATGATGATGATGATGATGAGACACAACAACCTGTAGTCTCCTAATTACCCACTGTGGAGAAGCTGACAGCAATCTATGTTGACATATATTCCACTTCTTTCTTTTTTTTTTGCTGGGGGGGAGGGGGTGATTGTGAAATTATTTCAATTGCCCTTCATTCTGTCTATTGAACCATTTACTCACTATTAGGCCAACCATAAGCCAAATCATACTGCTAAGCCTAGATCAGGGATGTCAAACATAAGGCCCAGGGGCCAGAATCGGCACAGCAGAGAGACCCAATCTAGCCCGCTGGACAGCTTTGGAAAATATGATGGAAGGCATACAGTTTTGGCATGTTAAATAAATGTATTATTTATTTATAGCTTTTCAGCTTATTAAACTCCCCAAAGCCAGTTACACTACACTAAAGTAGTTAAGTATGTCAAGGCTGCGGCAGCAGTTGTGTGATGTGTGGGAAAGTGGACTCAAATGCAGGCACTTACTAAGATGCAAGTGAGGTTTATTGTAAATAACAGAACACAAGGCAGGGATGGCAAAAACAAAACTAAAGAAAACCTGAACTGGGAAAAACTATTGCATTTTTTAAATCTTATATTAACATATGCCAGGGATTAAATGTGTAGTTAAATGTCCTTACACTGAAATTATTCCAAAGGTTCTTCAGTTATCTGCGTGCTGGGCGGAGACAAACAAACAAACAAACAACAAATGCAACTCAGTCCTACAGCAAAGTGTGAAATAGGCGCTCCTGTCCACTGTGTTCATCATGCTTTTCTCCTTCCTAGTGTAAAATGGGCACACATGTAGAAGCTGCATCACCAGCAGGAGGAGACTTTTAAAGCCGCGAAGTCACTAGTGAGAGGCAAACGTGAAATGGACACAGTGGACCGGCGTGTCTATTACATGATACTGGGTTGAAAAACGTGTCTTTTTCTTTCGGCACATTTGTGCTACAATCAACTGACTGTAGTTCATATGCATGGAGAGGGACAATGGTGGAGGTGTATACAACTTCTGAGAAGTGGAGATAGGAATACTCCAATGGCCCAAAACAACAAGGTAAATTGGTCAAGTGCAAAGTTTAGGACAGAAGTAAGTACAAATGATTAACATGACATCAACTCTTTGCAAGCATCTCCACAAATAGCATGCTAACACAATGTGAAGAACCCAGACTGATGTTAAACCTGATTGTGCAGTCAGTCTCGCAGCCAAGGTTTCTTCCTGTGTGGTTTTACAGTATAATCACTGTGGCAATCACTTTGAAGTCTCTTTGAACCAGTTTTCAGTGTTGTCCACTTCGTGTTAATAATTAAACACTAAAAGAATGATGACTTCTACTCACGTGTGGCAAAAGATTTATACTGTTAACTGGTAATTGGCAGCGGAGTTTAAGTAATAATTTAGTTTCTCTGTGGGGGTACTCAAGTACTGTTCAGCATTACAGCATTAAGAAATGTAACAAGTAACAAACCCAATATTGACCAGTTTCTGGGCAATGTCTTTGTAAGCCACTTGAAATGTACAGTACCTATGGAATCATCCCTAACTCCCTAACTGTGTGCACATAACAGAAAACGTATTAAAGAACTCATTTTCCTTAACAAAAGTATAGAATTTTTTCCCATTTCAAATAACTACTTCAGCAACTATCAAATATAACACAGTTTGAGAGGCATAAAATGGTATTTTTGCACCAACAATGTGATTCCTAATGAGTCATTAGTCAAAAAATGGCATATCTCAGGATGGTGTGCAGTGTGTCCTTAAAGAAAACTGGGGCAAATTGATAAGTGAACGACAAAAGCAGTGGCAGACCAAGATAAAAAGGATCTGCAGCAGATGAAAAGTATCTCCAAGTCATGATCAGAAAATGGTCTCAGCGGTTGTGTATTTTGGCATATATCAGCTCCATCCTGAAGAATGCTTTTTTTCACAAGTACTGGACTGAAAAGAAGTGACAACATGTCCTATAAAGTGATAAATCCAAATTTGAAATCATCATCAGCACACAGCAGCTTGCCCAACCTCAGCATTACCGAAGCAGTTTGAAATTATAACAGACAATGGAATAAAAACCAATCAACATCCAAAGAAAAGCTTTGATTGTCCCCCAGGAACCCTGGAGAACTGTTGAAGTTGAAGACTACTCAAAGAAATGACAAGAAAGCTTACCTAAGAGAGTTCAGACTGAAAAATAAGGATACCAAATAAAATAAATGTACCAGATCTGTATTTCCAATTTTACTAGAAAACAAGAAAGAAATAAGGGGTGGTTCAACACTTTCATACAGTGGCTGTAGCTCAGGAGGTAGAGCAGGTTGTCTACTGATCGGAAAGTTGATGGTTGGTGGCTCACCCTAGTTTGCATGCAAAATATCCTTGTGGCAGGATATCTCTGATGCATCCATCGGAGTATGAATGGTAGTTAGAAAGCACTTCAAAGCATAGAATGTGTGTGAATCTGGCATGTTGAATATAGCGTAGAAATATACGAATCTATACGAATTTACTGTAGCTATACTAGAGTTGGATGTCTCGAGACCGGTCTTGGTCTCGAGACCACTTTTACGTGGTCTTGGTCTCGTCTTGGTCTCGACTGACTTTTGTCTTGGTCTCGGTCTTGGTCTCGACGGACTTTTGTCTTGGTCTTGTCTTGGTCTCGACGGACTTTTGTCTTGGTCTCGGTCTTGGTCTCGCTGTTTCGGTCTTGCGTTCTCAAATCGACATAGTGTTCGGGAGATTTGGAGTCAACCATCAGCGGAGTGGGGGGGGGTGGCTTACTGGGCTTAAGCCCAAAAACAACACACGAAGCACAGAGCGCACCGTCGTAAATTCCCCCTAATTTTGGTATGATCCGAGCTCAGGCACTAGGCGACTGAGCGCAGCACCCATGTGAGCGAGGGGGGAGAAGCTGCTGCCTGCGAATTTGCTGCAGACAGAGGAGAGCTTAAGTTTGACCAGGTACCAAAGCAAATCATTCGTACTGAACTAATAATGTAAATATGACGGTGTATCACAAAAGATTGATATCAAACTGATCACTTGGTTGCGTTACTTGCTCTTCGAGTGAATCAACAAATGGATAAATAAAAAGCCGAACAGCAATGCTGATTCTTAGCTTACATTTCATATTTTCAGTTGTTACCCTCCACGGCTAAACAAACTCTCTAAATCGGTTTCAGTTGTGTACTGATGAACACAACAATGGACATAAGGAGCTTCTTTCAAAGAAAAAACTCAGGTAGATGTTATTTTATATATTATGCTTTGGATGTTGTTCAGTATATCTATGCAAAACAAGAGGAATTTCAATACACAGCAGTATATTCACAGTTGAAACCAGATATTTACATACACTTTATGGAGAAAACATAAAAACTTTTTTTTACTGTTAAACATCAATTTAGAGTAAACTTTTGTTTTAGATAAATAAATGTTGAAATATCTTTTGAATTAGTTAAATGTCAGAATAAAAAGAGGGAGCTGTCTATTTTAATCACTTTCATCAAATTTAGGAGTACATATACACTAAGTTTATTGTTAATTAATAAGAAAACTCCAGACGATTCCATTCTGAGCTAAAGAAGCTTCTGATAGGTTAGTAGAGTCCATGTGATTTGATGTTACAATTAAAAAAGTGTTTGTGTTTTTATCTGAAGAGTACATAAATATCTGGTTTCAACTGTATATTTGATGATGTTGGTGTTTGGCTTGATTGTCAGCACAAAGAGGGAGAGAGAGGAGCAGAGATGGAACAAGAGCAGGTGAGACACACATGTTAGTCAAATGGTTGTTTGCCAAAACTCATCAGAACATGTATCTAGTACCTAGTGTTTCTTTTTAGATACCATTTGTTACTTTTCAAATTCTATATTTATTAAGTTATGCAGGCTTGTTTGCACAACAAGGCTAAATAATTATATAAACTTTTCTCAATCTAAATATTGTACTTTGGTAGAATTAAAAAATAAGTGTAGTGCAGGTCTATGATGATTTTTAGTGCTACTATCATCTAGTTCTGATTCTGGTTCTGTCTTGGTTACTGTTGTAGTCCTGTTTTAATTCCAGATCAGTTTTGGGTCTGGTTGAATTGGGGTTTAGTCCCTGTGTCTTGATACAGGCCCGACTTTGTTCTGCCTTGCTGCTTAATTAAAAAACTAGTTTAAGGTGTCCTGAATATGTATATAGAATAGCATCTGGCTGCAGTTTAAAGACTTTTTTTGTCTCGGTCTTGGTCTTGGTCTTGGTCTCGTCTCGACTCGGTCTCGGTCTTGGTCTCGTCTCAACTTGGTCTTGGTCTTGGTCTTGTCTTGGTCTCGATACCCTCTGGTCTTGGTCTTGTCTTGGTCTCGATACCCTCTGGTCTTGGTCTTGTCTTGGTCTCGATACCCTCTTGGTCTTGGTCTTGTCTTGGTCTCGGATTAGGCGGTCTTGACTACAAGTCTAAGCTATACTAAATAGACCAGTAGCCATATACTATTACTGAACAAGAACAGACAAATCAGATTTGTGCTGAGCCATTCCTCGTAAAGTAACCACATTTAAACAATAACAACAAAATGTTTTCTTAAAAAAAAAAAAAAATTAGATATGACTTTTCTCTTTCATAACAGATTCCACTAACTGAACTGTTTGATTTTACATGTTATCATCTCTTTCTCTTTCAGCTGTGAAGCACGTCATCTGAACTGCAACCACCCGACACGACGACAAGAAATCTGTCATCCAAGATGACTGAAAATAGCAACCATAATGTATCCAGCCACCCTGTAGGGTCCCACTCTTTGAATGTTTTTACCATTACCCTCCATGGCATTTTCTCTACAATTGGCATCGTGGAAAACCTCCTCATCGTTGCAGTGGTGGGCTTCCATGTCCGTCGCTCCATCATTAGCATCTGGATCCTGAACCTCGCAGTCTCTGACCTGCTAGCCACTTCTTCACTGCCCTTCTTCACCCTGTACATGGCCCGGGGCAAAACCTGGACACTGGGGACAACTTTCTGCCGCATCCATTCCTCCATCTTTTTTCTCAACATGTTCGTCAGTGGCTTCCTACTGGCGGCCATTTCTCTGGACCGCTGCTTGGTGGTGCTGAAACCTGTCTGGGCCCAAAACCACAGAAACATCCAACTAGTTAAGAAGATATGTGGGGTAATCTGGGCCATGGCTCTGATCTGCACTATCCCCTTCTTCCTGTTTCGTGACGTCATCCCTGTAGAACATGGCCGGAATCTCTGTTACTATGATTATGCTCGATTCCTGCCTGAACCAAAGAATCAGACAAATAATAAACCTATAATTAAACAACGGAAAGAAGGACTGGCAATAATGAAGCTGTTTTTTGCCTTCTTAATCCCTTTGGTCATCATCATAGTGAGCTATGCTGTTGTACACTCCATAATAGCAAACAGATGTAACCGTCGCCCTTTCCGTTTTGTTCGGCTTGTAGTGTCTGTGGTGGTGAGCTTTGTACTCTGCTGGGCACCCTACCACATATTCATCGTCATGGAAGTGATGGCTCCAAACTCTCGCTCTGTTCAGAATTTTATAAGACAGGCCCTCCCAGTTGCAGCGACGATTGGCTTCCTCAACAGCGTCCTCAATCCTGTTCTGTATGTGTTCAGCTGCCCTGACCTGTGCAATAAGATCCGACATTCTCTCGGTGCAGTGATGGAGTCTGTTCTGGCTGAGGATCTTGCAGAGTTCGCCCGGCGCCGCAGCACAGCTCGGAGCTCTATCGGCAACTCTGAGATAATGACGAGAAAGAAGCATTCCCTTGCAACTCAGGAAGAAAGTATGAGTACTTCAGTTTAGAAGTAAAACATACCATCTCTTCTTTAGTAAGTGCAAAGAAGGTTTTATTTACCTCAACTGCACATAAAAAAGTTCCCTGTTGTCTAACACATATCACTCAGGCAATACTTTTTCACAAGAAGCTTACCTGTTTTGCTATAGCATTGTATTCTCCATCCATCAATCAAGTTATTAGTGCCCCATCTAGGATTAAGAATATGTTTTAGTATAAATTAACATCATCGGGAGTTCATGTTTGGAACATGTGGATAGACTAAAATCCAACCTTAATCCTGACACTGGATGGAGCACTTGTGACCTGATGGATATTATGAGGTTTCTGTTGTTTTCATATGCTTCATATGCTTCTTTGTTTGTTTTTTTTTGGTTTTTGTTTTGTTTTTTTTGCCTGTCTCGTTTGGCTCTTTTGCCATCAGAATTGTTGTCTAAAGGCAAAGAAAGATGCCCAACGGATTTACTTTACCAAATTGACCATCCCAGCCTTGCCGTAATGGTCCATTTGACTCACCTTTTATTGTTTATTTTATTTTCACTTACTGAATACGGGACAGACTTGACTGGGGGAAAGAAGGGGAGAAAGAAAGAGGGAAAGAGAAACAGCTGAGAAGAGGGACGGGGGAGAAGGGCAAAAGACAAAAACCAACAGAATGAGCAGAAAAAAAATGCATATATCAATCACCTGGATCACCTGCTGAGAAAGAAAAAAGAAAACAAGCAGAAGAGAACAAGAGTAATAGAATAAACAACATCACAATGATATATGGGAATATGACAGTAAATACTAAATATTAAACATTATTGTGCAGCACATAAGATCAACAGAACACAGTGTGCTTTGAGGTAGGAGCCAAAAAGGGTGTAGTTTGTGGGTGTGATCACCCGTGTGTACACCTGTGAGCATGGACGCGCTTGTTTGTTTTTTTTAAAAGGTTCCTTCATGTAATGATCTGCTAGAGGGTGTGGGGGGGCCACAGCCCCGTCCTCCAGGGCATGAAGCAGGTATGGAGGAGATCAAAACTCCAGACATCCAGAGGCCCCCAGAACACAAGAGACCAAGGAAGACCAACAGAGGGGCAGCCGCGCCACTGTCCCAGAAAGAGCTGAGGAGAGTCCCAGATGAGGGCTCACTCAGCAGCCGCGGAGCAGAAGCCAGGGGGAGTTGCAGTGACGCGCCCGTGAGCTCCGCCGGCAGCCAGCCGTGCCTGAGTGACCGAGCCCCAGGCCGAGAGGCCGGGGGCACCCCACCTCCGAAGTGGCCCGAGCGAGCCCCAGGCTCCAGGCCCCGATAAGCGGCCGCCAAGGAGTGAGCCGGTGTGTACCCGGACGCCCACCCCCAGACACAAAGAACCACCAACGCACCGATGTCTGAGGGCGTCCGCCACTGGCAGGGTTTCATATGCTTCTTCATGTATTTAGACAATGACAGCAGACATTTCTCTTCAAAATAATTAAATTTTAGAAATGGCCTTTCTTTTTCATAACACAAAGAGCAAAGTTCACTCCATGTCCTTTTACAAACTTTCTTTGCTTCTTAATGGTATCTTTTCAGATTAAAGACATCCAGTAATTGGTCTAATCTGCTGCAGACGTTTAATCTAAAACTTTTGCATATTCTTAGTGAAATTATGTGTGGGGATGGGTGTTTCAGTAAAAATATCTATCAGTGCTTCCTTGTGCTTGACATAGAGATATTGCATAAAAATAGAGAAAGATAGCTTTATCATTTAATTTTAGCTTTTCAGTACAAAGTCCTAGACTCATTTGTATTCCTTATATTTAGCGAATTATATGTGATGTAATGTCTGTACTCTAGCAAGAAAAAACAGTTTAGTTAGCATTATTATACAGTCATGTGCAGTATGTCACTAAATTTGCAAAAACTTCCCCATTCTATGTACCTCTCTTGTTTTGAGGGTGTTTGATGAAAATTTTTTTTGCTTTGTATATAACCGAGCCTTAGACTTTTTAAGAAATGTGTAATGTGTTTCTCACTAGATGTTATCAGCAGCTGTAAGTGCCTACACCAGCATTTTTTTTTCAGATGCAAAACATTCGGTTTCCTTTTATGATGAAATTGCTCAAGCTGTTTATGAGAAAAAGTGTATTGCACGTTTTCTTTAGCGCTCACTCATATGCTGTCAATACCTTTTAGCAGTAAAATGACATTTTAGAAAATGAATAAAAGAAAAGAAAAGCATTCCTGGCACCTTCGTATGACTAGTTGCTTACCGTTATATAACCACAATCTTGTGTTTCCATAGTGATTCACACCTTCTCTATTTTTAAAATTACTGACAGCACACGTGTGATTAAATGCAGTTTTTAATGATCGTAAACTGAGCAGCAGAAAACAATCGCTTCATAAACTCACAGTAGTTATGGATGTGCGGTTTTGACAAATATGAAACTGAATTTCCATATTTCAGCTGAGTTACATGTAAGCTGAAGTCACCGTTTGCGCAAAAATATATTTTTTCTCTCCTACCTTTAAGCAGTATCTAGATGAGGAACTGTGAATGCCCAAATAATTCTTTAGATGAAAAGGTGGAAACACTGCGAGGCATAAACTCCACATATGTCTTCCCACTGGGTGGTGCAATTGCTTTGATTGTGGTCAAGTCCAAACTATATTGCTAGAAGGTTACTCTGTCTATTTTCACTCACCCTCTTGGTGTCTGGGTGAGCTCTGGTACTAAGAGTCATGCTTTTGCTTGGGTTTTGCCCTCTTCCCAAACAGGGCAGGGACCTTTGCAGCTCTAGCCGAGCATCAGGGCAGAGGAAGATGTAGAAGAGGGGATCCAGCAAAGTGTTCAGACTGGTCAAACCATAGCACAGACGATAAATGAGGAAAAGTGAATGCTCCAGTTCACATGGATCATCAGTCAGCAGCAAGGATACAAACCTGTATCCACCTACCAGGTGGTAGGGTCCAAAGACAACAATGAAGTTGACAGTAATCACGACCAGAATTCCTACGATTTTGTGCCGTTCATGGGCGGAGAGGGATGGAGATTGCCTGAGTGTCACCCCAATGTGGGCTGAGGTGTAGCTGAGGGAGGAAACAGATTTGGAGATCAGAAACCAGCCTTTAATCTAATATACAAAACGTTCCAAAAGAACAGGGAAATATCTGATTTATCTAGAAAACATTAAGTCAGAAACATATGTGCACATGTAGATTTTGGTATTAACTCACCCCAGGATGGCACATGGCAACAAGAAGCCTAGAACCACAGTGGCAATCTTAAATTGAGCATATCGGGGGCTGACGGGGTACTGCTCCAAGCACAGCAGTCTGTCAGAGTTGAACACAGATGGCAGCAGCCCACTCAGACAGAACAGGAAGGTTAGGATCCACACCGCTACACCTGACACTGCTGCTACTCTGACTGTTCGCACCCTGCGGCTGCTGAATGGGTAAACAATAGCCAGGCAGCGGTCTGTAGCTATCAGACACAGGAACATGACACTTGCATAGACGTTCACGTAAAACACGTAGCCAACTAGCTCACAGGTTAGCTGGCCATAGGGCCACTGGTGTGGACCCTGGAGGTAAAGAATCCATAAGGGCAGTGTGAGCAGTTGGAGGAAGTCTGACAGCAGCAGGTTGAGGATGTAGACCAGCTGACAGCCTCCGCCACCTGAGCGCCCCAGGTGGTACAATCCCCAAAGAGACAGCAGGTTGCTGGGGAGACCCAGAGTGAAGATGAGGCCATAAATACAGGTCAGTCCAAATATGTCCGTGTCCAAGGGGAGGTTGCAGGTATCGTTGGACATGTCTCTGAGGGTAAAACACGTCACATGGGAAACTTGAGGTGATCTCAATCAGACATTGATTCACACTCACAGAACGGTGAGTTAATGTAGGAAAGCCCATCCATTCACTCAAGGCAGAGAGGAAGAAAGGAAGACTCTGTTCTCAGGTGCATTCTTCCTAATCACACTTGTCCACTCTGCAAGATTCATAAAGCCACTCTGCTGTGGAAAAAATCACCCTCATTTTTGAAGCTGTCACTCAACCAGGCTTCAGAGCATCCCAGATCCATTGGTGGAAATGAAAACCTGCAAAACAGATGCCATGAGTTTTTAAGTGCATGAAGACTGAACCCATAAAAAAGCTTAAATCCTTTGTACTCACCCCTCAGAGCTTTGAGACTGACTTTATTCCACAAATAGTGTGCAGCCCAGTCTGCAGCCGGGCGACCTGTGCTCAAGCAATGTTGGGAACACGTTGCCTCGACCCAGCCTTGTCTATTCTGTGATCGTTTCCTCCACAGGAAACCCACTTCTTCAGCTTTAAAGGCAACATCCTGAGGCAGGAGAACGCCTTTCTGTCCCAGAACAAAAACAAGCTCCCACTTTTTCTGAGCCTCTGTCTTTCTTGCTTCTACAGCAGCCACAAAGATTAGGCATGGACAGGCACAGTGAGTGCAGGGATCGATGTGTCCGCTGATGGGAATTCCCAAAGAATTCTTTAGATTGTAGCTAGTCTCCAGCTACAATCCATCAATCATGTTAACCCATATGCTGTGATACCTCTAAACATGCTGTTAAACAACACCGAACGAACTATTAGGTATGTCGTGTGGAATTGTATTTATTAGCTACAGTTCTTTTTCATGCCTTAAAAGAGTTAAACTCTTCTCTCATCAAAGCACCACGTGTTGTGGTTTTAGATAAAGTTTAGGGTGGTTTTAGATCATTTATAACTGATCAGTTAAGGAAATTCTGGTTGAGGTTAGTGTTTATCTAAGTCTTCAGGAAATGAATGAAAGCCAACATATGTCCTCTAAAGACATGAAAATATAATTGTGTGTGTATGAGCTTACTTCTGCTATTGTGAGGGCCAGAACGTTTTAAACTAGAGATGATATCTAAGCTCTCATTTCTGTACTCACTTTTAAAGGGTTAATTAAGTGTTAAGACTTGATGTGATGTCTAAGACTGGAATTACTATAGGGCTGGAATAGAAATAGGAATAAAAAGTTAGAGTGAAGAGAAATGTTCTCACAAATATAGCCAAAACAGTAAGTGTGCGTAGGTTTGTGTATTCTGTGTAGATTAGAGAGAGAAGGTTGAAACCACAGCAAAAAAGGTGCAGATAGACAAACCTACCAAACCAAACACAATACTGTGGTCAAATTTATTGCAAGGTAAAAGAAGAATAAGCTTCTTCCCCAACTGATTTAATTAATAATTTGTAGTCAGTAAATGTTTTACACTTTGGCTCCGAGGAACTTTTTTCATACAGTGCAGACCGAAAAAAAAGAGTACACAATTGAAATTGTTTGACTGAAGAATGGGCGTATTGAAACAATAGGTATTACTTGGTATTTTTACCACATGGGTTCAGAGGGAGGGGAGCCTAATCACTCACTTTTGTTTCTTTTAAATGTCACAAAACTTTGATTCATCAGATAACACAAGTTTGTTATTTATAAATTAGAAAGTACATAGGTTCTCCAGAGCTCCAAATAAAGATCTTCATATTTCTTTGTACATGACTGGCCATAAAGACAGATGGGAGCCATGTACTGTACAGATTGTAAGTCAGAAGCAGTCACTCTAAATAGTCCTCCAGAAACCCTGGTAGGCTGTGTATTTCTGCCAATCAGAGCACTCAAAGCGCTTTTTGATACAATTTGTCACATTCACCTATTCACACACACACACACATGAACACACATAGTATGGTCTTGCTATCCTTGTGGGGACATCTCATTGACATAATGCTTTCCCTAGCTGCTTATCCTAACCCTAACCATCAAAAATGAATGCTTAACCCTAACCGTTACCCTAAACCTAACCATAACCCAATTGTAACCCTGACACTAAAACCACATTCTGAGTGTGAAAAATGCCTACAACCCCATGGGGACCTGGATTTTGGTCCCCACAAGGGCTGTTGATCCCCACCAGTATAGTAAATTTCAGATTTTGTTCCCCACCAAGATAGGAAGAACCAGAACACACACACACACACACACACACACACACACACACACACACACACACACACACACACACACACACACACACACACATATTAATATTGTGTTTTAATCTTTGGTTTTCAGGTATTTTTATCACGTATACACTTACACGCCACTGCATGCATTAGGGGAGATTGTTTGCTCAGTAGCTTGCCTGAGAATACTTGGACATTAGGGCCGGAGAAGAGAAGCCACTGATCTTCCAACTAACAGAGTATCTCTGGGCAAGATACTTATACCAGGTTGCTCCTGATGTGGTGATCAGCATGTGAATGTCAGATAGATCACTTAGTCATTGTATGAATGTGTCTGAATGGGTGAATGATGCGCGTTGTATAAATTGGTTTAAGTGGTGAAGTAGAGTACAAAATAACTACCGTAACTGTCGGGCTATAAGCCGCTACTTTTTGCACAAGCTTTGAACCCTGCGGCTTTTAGTCAGGTGCGGCTTTTCTATGGATTGTCCATGATTTTTGTCATATCGTAAGACGATTTGTTTTATTTGTTCCGCTGTTGTACGGCACTACGTTGCCTGGCAGAAGGGCATGTGATCAGACACACAGTATCGGGGTTCAAGAGTGGTATGCTGGTCACATGTCCATCCGCCAGGCAAAATATTAATAAAAGGGGTGTGTCTCCAAACAGCCATCTCTTTCCTGACAATTCCCTTTGTGCATATTCTCTTACATATGATAAGTCAACATTGAAACACCTGCAGCTTTTAGTCAGGTGCGGCTAATGTATGTACAAAACAGGATTTTCCCCTGATTTTAGCTTGTGCGGCTAATTTTCAGGTGCGCTTTGTAGTCCGGGAAATACGGTATATAAGAGCCAGTTTGTTTACAACTGCCACATGACTTTGCCTACATTAATCACTGACAGTCTGAATCACTGGGTTATTAGGACCCCAATACAAAGTTAAAAAAAAAACCACTTCTTTTAAGTCTAAGGGATTATAAATTAAATGATAAATTAAGCTAGTTACACATGCTAAAGGACAGATATGTGTAAAGACAAAATTACTGCAGTCTTAATTTTACAGGGAAACAAATCATTTTATTGAAATAGACTTTATTCCTATTTCAGGGAGCATAAAGAAATTATACTTTATACAATGTATCTTTTTATTTTTCCCTTGATTGGTGTTGGGAAGCATTCATGTAACAAAGTGTTTTGCAGGTTACCTCTGTGGTGGCCATCTTGTTTTCCCAGTAAAGAGGAGGCCTGCCTCAATTGCAGCTCTTTTATAGGCCAGTCTGTATTAAGAAGGCGTGTCTTTAGAGTATTTAAAGGGAGCAGGAAATGGATTGGGAGTCATTTTGAGAAGTTGCTGTCTGTATGTGCATGATTTTGGCAAGAGACAATAAAACAATTACTTTAATTAAGATTGAGTGAAGTCTGATGTTTCCCTCACCGCTCCTCGCGGTATAAGTACAGTAGAGGCCCATAAAGTGTTGCAGAACAGTTTAACAGCATATGTTGGAACATGTTCTGTTGGAACATGTTGGAACATGCTCTCAACCACCCAGGTTAGGAGGGAACTGAGGAGGATTAATGGCAAGAAGGCAGCGGGTAGACTTCCGCAGGCACAAGCATTCTCCACTGCAACCACTGAACATCCAGGGTATGGACATTGAGGCTGTGGACAGCTACAGGTACCTTGGTGTTCATCTGAACAACAGACTGGACTGGACTCATAACTCAGACGCCCTCTACAGGAAAGGGCAGAGCAGGCTGTACCTGCTGCGGAGACTCAGGTCGTTTGGAGTGGAGGGCCCACTCCTGAAGACCTTCTATGACTCTGTGGTGGCTTCTGCTATCTTTTATGGTGTGGTCTGCTGGGGCGGCAGCATCTCTGCTGGGGACAGGAAGAGACTGAACAGGGTGATCCGAAGGGCCAGCTCTGTTCTAGGATGCCCTCTGGACCCAGTGGAGGTGGTGAGTGACAGGAGAATGGCGGCTAAGCTGTCATCCCTGTTGGACAACATCTCCCACCCCATGCAGCAGACTGTGACAGCACTGAGCAGCTCCTTCAGTGGGAGACTGCGGCACCCACGGTGTGGGACGGAGAGATTTCGCAGGTCTTTCCTCCCCACTGCTGTCAGACTCCACAACAAAGACTTTAACTGAACAAACACACACATCCACACATGTGCAATAACACTAAGTGCAATAATCTTTTCTGGCATCGTTGTATTTTTACTCAGTTGTATATAGCATTCGTATTCTATTTTTATCTTATTGTATATTTTTATTCTATTTTATTCTACTGTATATAGTATATTATTTTATTCTATTCTGTACAGCTGTGTACTGTATTTATTCTTATTGTATTCTAATTTTTGCGTCATAACTTTTGCACTGTCCACTTCCTGCTGTGACAAAACAAATTTCCCACGTGTGGGACTAATAAAGGTTATCTTATCTTATCTTATC